GGGAATTGGGAGTTAAGCTGAAGAGTAGAACTTCGAAGGTATTAATATTGGGATTATTACCTGAGCCAGGGGCAAATTGGTACAGGCAAAAAAAAATTAAGTAACTGAATACCTGGCTAAAAGAATGGTGTGGAGGGCAGGAGTTTCACTTTATAGGCCACTGGCACCAGTATTGGGGGAGACAGGAGCTATTCCAAAGGAATGGACTCCACTTAAACAGGGCTGGGACAAATGTCCTGGCAACACAAATAAATAGGGAGGTAGACAGGGCTTTAAACTAGTAAGGGGGTGGGTGGTAAATTTGATCACTTGTAATCTGTCACAATTAAAATTAGGACCGATGAAAGTGGGAGAGCAGATTAACCAGAGAAATGAGCAAAGTGTGTCATGCGGGGAAAGAAAGCCCAAGGATAGGGTACTGGTGAATAGGACTAATAGCCCGAAGTCAGAATTAAAGGTGCTATATCTGAATGCGTGACGCATTCGAAACAAGATAGATAAGTAAATGCACAAATAGAAACAAACGGGTATGATCTGGTAGCCATCATCGAGACATGGTTAAAGGGAGATCAAGGGTGGGAGCTAAATATTCCAGGGTATGTGGCGTATAGAAAAGATAGGCAATGTGGTAAACGAGGAGGAGGGTGGCCCTGCTAATAAAGGATGGGATAAAAACAGTAGAGATGAAAAATTTTAAATCAGAAAAGCAGGAAGTAGAGTCAGTATGGGTAGAGGTACGTAACAAGCGGCAGAAAACTCTTGTGGGAGTAGTTTATAGACCCCCGAACAGCAGTCACAGTATCTCTCAAGATATAAATCAGGAAATTAGCAGAGCATGTAGTAAAGGAAAAACATTAATTGTGGGTGATTTTAATCTGCACATAGATTGGGACAACCAAATTGGGAAAAGTATGATAGAGGAAGAGTTTATAGAATGTATTAGGGATAATTATCTAGATCAGTATGCAGAGGAGCCAACCAGGGAACAGGCCATATTAGACCTTGTTTTGTGCAATGAAGCAGGGCTGATCAGCAAACTAGAAATGAAGGCTCCTCTAGGGCAAAGTGATCATAATATGATGGAATTTAGCATTAAGTTAGAGAGAAGCAGTTAAGTCTGAAGCAAAGGTTTTAAATTTAAGTAGAGCCAATTTTGTTGGTATGAGAGAGGATTTAGCCAAAATAAACTGGGAAATTAGACTTAAGGATTCGACAGTAGACCAGCAATGGCAGACGTTTAAGGAGATAGTGCAAAATCTCCAGTGAGTATGTATTCCTTTGAGGAATAAGAATGCCACGGTAAAGGTGGCCCAACCGTGGCTAACTAGAGCAGTTAGGGAAAGTATAAAGTTAAAGGAAGAAGCCTATAAAACAGCTAAGATGAGTAGTAAACCTGAGGATTGGGAGAACTTTAGGGATCAACAAAGGAGAACCAAAAAAGTGATTAAGAGGGAGAAAATGGAATATGAGGGCAAACTAGCGAAGAACATAAAGACAGACTGCAAGAGTTTTTATAAATATATAAAGAGGAAGAGGCTGTCAAAGGTAAATGTGGGTCTGCTACAGGCAGAGACGGGGGTAATTATAGTAGGGGACAAAGACATGGCAGAGTCATTAAACAAGTACTTTGCTACTGTCTTCACTTTAGAAGACACTGAACCTACCAAGAATAGAAGGGAACCAAAAAGACAATGTTAGCGAACAACTTGGGGGAATTAATATTAGTAAAAAAATGGTTTTAGGTAAATTGTCAGGTCTTAAAACTGATAAATCTCCTGGACCTGATGGCCTACATCCTAGGGTTTTAAAAGAGGTGGCTACTGAGATAGTGGATGGCTTGTCTATGATCTTCCAAAATTCTCTGGATTCTGGAACGGTTCCCATTGATTAGAAGATTGCAAATATAACACCGCTATTTAAGAAGGGTGGGAGAGAAAAGATGGGCAACTATAGACCAGTTAGTCTGACATCAGTGGTAGGGAAAATTCTTGAGCCCTTAATTAAAGATGTCCTTATGGGATTCCTGGAAGACCATAACAAGATTAGGCAGAGTCAACATGGCTTTACAAAAGGGAAGTCATGCTTAACTAACCTCTTAGAGTTTCTTGAAGATGTATCTAGCAGGTTAGATAGGGGGGAACCAGTAGATGTAGTATATTTATATTTTNAAAAGGCATTTGCCAAAGTGCCACACAAAAAGCTATTGCACAAGGTTAAGGCCCACAGGATTAATGGGAAGATATTAGCATGGATTGAAGAGTGGCTAACGGGTAGAAAACAGAGATGGGATAAATGGGTCATTCTCGAATTGGCAAGATGTCACAAGGATCAGTGCTTAGGCCTCAGCTATTTACATCAATGATCTAGACCAGGACATTGAATGTAACGTATCTAAATTCGCGGATGACACTAAACTAGGTGGGAGAATAAGCTCTGAGGATGATGCAAAAAGATTGCAATGGGATATAGATAGGCTAGGGGAGTGGGCGAGTAGGTGGCAGATGGAATTTAATGTGGGGAAGTGTGAAGTTATTCACCTAGGTAGAAAAAATAGAAAAACAGATTATTTTCTAGAGAGGGAGAGATTAGATAGTGTTAGTGTTCAGAGGGATTTGGGTGTCCTTATACACCAGTCTCAAAAAGTTAGTTTGCAGGTGCAGCAAGCAACTAAGAAGGTGAACGGCATGTTAGCGTTCATTGCAAAAGGTTTAGAGTACAAGAGTAGGGAACTCTTGCTGCAACTGTATAGGGCCTTGGTGAGACCGCACCTAGAGTATTGTGTGCAGTTTTGATCTCCTTATTTAAAAAAGGACATACTTGCCCTAGAGAGGGTGCAGCGTAGATTCACTAAGTTAGTTCCTGGGATGAGGGGACTGACCTATGAGGATAGGCTGAATAAACTAGGGCTATATTCTCTAGAGTACAGAAGAATTAGGGGAGATCTTATTGAAATATATAAGATTCTTAAAGGGCTGATAAAGTAGACACTGAGGGTTTGTTTCCCCTGGTAGGAGAATCTATAACCAGGGGTCACAGTCTTAAAATTAAGGGTCAGCCTTTTAGAACAGAGTTGAAGAAACATTTCTTCACTCAGAGGATAGTGAATTCATGGAATTCATGGAAATCACTACCCCAGAAGGCTGTAGATGCTCAGTCCTTGAACATCTTCAAGGCTGAGACTGATAGATTTTTAAAAAATAGAGGGATTAGGGGATATGGGGATAGGGCAGATAATTAGCGTTAGGTCTGAAGATCAGCCATGATCTTATCGAATGGCAGGGCAGGCTCGAGGGGCCAAATGGCCTACTCCTGCTCCTAATTCTTATGTTCTTATCCAGATGAAGGTGCTGGAAGTTACAGACAGGTGGAAGTTAAGTAAAAACACGAATAGAAAAAAAAGAGGGGGCTGGGAAAACTCAGCAGGTCAGGCAGCATCTATGGAGAAAGGAAAGTGAGTCAACGTTTTGGGTCCACGACCCTTCGTCAGAACCTGCTGAGTTTTCCCTGTTTTTGTTTCAAATTCCAGCATCTGCAGTATTTTGCGTTTTATTCAAGAACAGGATTAGGTTTGGTTGGCTGTAATACCAACCTCAGTTGAATAGCCTGTCAATATTCCTGCTCAAGATAAGTGATGAATGAACACCTACCTGGGGGTAAGGTATCAATGGAACCTTTGGATTAGGAGAAAAATTGGTAGAAAAAAACAATTAAAAAATTTCCTCATCTCTGTAGATATCCTTAGTTGTTCCTCTTCAACACTTCTGGAGTTTCATTAACTGTCATTCCTTTCAGCTGATGTTATTTTACATGTACTCCAAAGGAGAGAATGCAACCTACCAACTGAGCTATGTGACATAATATGAGTAGAGTGACCTTACCCTTGCCTGGTGGATCATGAAACATAGTTTAGGATGATTCTATATGTGGGTAACAAGATTGCTCAAATTCTGTTACTACATGAATCAATGTTTGTTTAGTGTGCAGGACATCACTGGTACTGTCATTGTTGAATACCAAGGCTGTAAAAACATTAACAATTAGTAGTTAGTCTTTGGAAAGGAAGCACATACTGACAGTGAGAACATAATCCCTTGAGATCAGTGAAACTCAGATGTTTATAGCCAAGTGCTTCAGAGTCCCAATAATCCTTATGGTCTCAGCCTTAATCAGTTGGTTTAAAATTTAAGTTTGTACAGAATTTGGAAACAGTTCCTTGTAGATATTGTGGAAAACTGACTCCCAAATTAATTATTTTTAAGCTTTTCCAAAATTAAGCACAATCTTAAATTTAAGACTATAGTCTCAAGACTAAGACCATGAAGGATTTCCAGCCATGTTACGGCAACATAACTCAATTGTGGTTATACGTCTGCTGTATCTAAACCCCAACAAAGACCACTGTCCAAAGTATGAGATTCAGCTTGATCTGTGTAGCAAAAAGCGAGATGTATAATTATCACTGAGTTTAAGATATGAGGAAATGCAGATTCAAAAGGCAGACATGAGTTAGTGAAGCATGGTTGCAAGCACCAGGCGAGATAAGTGTTGGAAGTTTCAGGATCCTCTCTGGACCTCATTGAGCAACAGATCCTTGCTTGTGATTTGCACCCAATTTTTCCTGCTCCATAGAAAAGTTATAAAAACAAGACATGATCAGAAAAGAGAGGTCAACACTTCAGTTGTGACCACCAGCTCTTTTGGAGGATGGTACCTGAAAAGCTCATCTGAAAAGCTTTCTTTTTCATTAGATGATTGAATTGTAGATATCCAGGATCTATAGTTTTGCTTTCTATCTCTGCTACAAGATACGATCAGGTTTCTCATCAGTCATGACAAAGTGATTTTCTGTACTCTGATTTTGCACTAAGTGGGTCTGTAATGTGATCAGACTTTTGTTTGTTGTTGGATAGAGACAACTGGCCATTTCTAAAGATCAATAGGCCTGACTGTAACAGCCACACTCGGTTAAATGACCACATCCCCCAAAAAGGACACAGATATAGAGTTAAATAAATTAATGTTTATTTAAAATAAGGTGGTTTGCAGGTGTATTTTTGTCTGTATTTTGCATTGAACACAGAGAAAAGAGAAGCCACAATTGGCTTCCTGCAGTGAATACTGCAGACTAAACAGCAGTTGCAAGTGTCTCCCCTTCCCACACAGGCTTGACTATAGATTGAGCATGTTCAGCCACTTCATTCTATTGTACTGGCGCTAGATATAGTCCTAAACTTTACCATTGTTTGCCATACGTCAATGGCACAAAACCTGCCCTAATTTAGTTTGATCAATAATGCATGCATGCTTAATTTTTACAATACTGTATGGATTCCATCTGCCTTACTTAGGTCACATAATTCATATTTTTAACAGGCAAAACAGAAGAGATTTAAAAGACAAAAGCCCACCACTATTGACTTGGCTTGATTACCTGATTACTGGAATGTCTTGCCTCTTTACAGATTACTCTGCTAAAACAGCCAAAAGATGCAACGTGGAATGAAACTTATGGCCGCTGGGTATTTAAATTGGTTTGTTCAGATTCTCACTTTACTCTAAACCTCCATAGGTTTGACCAACATATACTTTTAACAAAGTACCATATATATTTTTTTCCTGCAGGTTACACTTTTATATCATTCCTCAAACACCCAGTTTATTGGCCAGGGTGAGGACCACTTTCAGAACTGGCATAAAGGCAGAGATTTCACTGAAGTTACTGGTGCTGACTATGTGCGTGTGGATGTTTAAACCCTCAGCATAGTTGTGGGTTTCGATGCTCCTCGCAATACTGTGCAAACCGCCAATGATGGTTGGTGACAGCTGCAAAAGATGGGGGAAAAAAAGCAAGTGTTAAAACTAATACAAGTTGATCCTAATCTTGAGCTGTGATGCATATCTTGCCTTTGGCTCACTATCAAAGCCGCTTTTTGCTGTACTTCACCCAGCAGGCACTGCTCTTTAGGATGACCTCAATGACCTGTTATTACACAGCAGATGCTTTCTCTCACAAGCCCCCTCCCTATCCCGGCCCTGGAAGATCTACCGATCCACAAAAGAACTTACATGTACAATTAAGTCCAAGGTTATGTTAACCCTGAATAAATACCTTACCCAGCGAAGCGGGTGCCTTTCATTGTGCAATGGACAGCCAATGAAATGGATTATTGATGATTCGCAGGTACCAATCCAGTACTCTGTCCCCAGCAGCCACAATTCATGCCTGAGCCTTGAGTCGGGCATTTCAACATATCATTTCAACCAACCCTTATTCTCTCTGCACACCAGCACCTCACAGAAAGGAATCACCTGATAGTCACCGATTTTCCTATCTTTAACTCAGGCACTGAGGCAAATCATTGATCCAAAACTGAGATCAGACATAAGGATTCAAAATTTAATCTTCTAGAATAGCTTAGTGCTGCTTTAGGGCAGACCAGATGGATTGCAAGTATTTTCAAGTTCTGTACATTAGGTTGTGCCTTTACCTATTCAACCTATCAGTAGAGCTTTGATTTAGAAATCTCTTGCATTGTCTCTCTGTGCTCGGTTTCTGTAGTTCGCACCAGGTTGAAGTAGACATTATCCCCATTGAGCAATTCATGGTTTAAGCAGTGCTTCATACCTGGCTGAAATCTCTCTTGCAAAGATTGAATATGGCAACATTTTCCGTCAATGGATGTGCATCAATGGGTAATGTCTGGGTAATCGGATCCTGGTAGGTTACTTACCACCTGGTCCCGGAGCTTGTCATACAGGGATTCCAATCGCTTGTTGGCGTCGTCCAGTTTTCTCTTGGTTTGCTATACACAAAAAGCATATAGAGCAAATTATATTGAATAGATGCAAAAAATATTTAAAGTTATCAAATGCAGTTTATTTCAACAATTACAAAATAGAACTCTAAATCACACGTGGTCTTCCCCATTCTATCCAATTTTTGACATCTTCAATGTCTCCTCTCCCTGAGGTGGTGACTCATGTTGAACAATAATGAAAAACACATGCTGGCAGAACTCCACTATACCAGTACTGCACTGGCGTGTTAGCCTAGGTTGTATAGATGGTAGAGGAAATGATCTTAATGTATTACAATGGCAGGTAAACATTACTGAACAGAATGGGCCTTTCTATTCAATCTGGGGAGAGGTGGAGAGAAGATCACAGACTGACCCAGTAACACGCTTTACAACAGGGATCACTATACAATTGTCTGGAAGGGAAACCTTGGCTAATTTGGGGACAGTGAGGCTAATTGGTGGCCCCACTAACTTGCCTTGGGCCTAACTGGGACGATCCTGGTTTGTGAGGCTCAGTAACATTTCGTGTGATGAATTTATCAATGAGCAACCGGAGAAGATCAAACAGTTTAACATAAGCACTATTTTAAAAATCACCTGCACCCTTAGCGCTGGAGTCATCTTGAATAACGTCTAAATAATTGGCAAACTATGTCTATGAGTTAATCTCAAGGAGTGTTTAGCCCACAAAATAAGATGTACACCTGCCATCGGTGGCCGAGTTTTCAGACTCTCTGCCCCCACACTCTGGAACTCCATCCCACAGTCCCTTCGCCCTGTTTCCTCCCTTTCCTCCTTCAAGGCCGGTCTCAAGACCCTCCTCTTCGATCGTGCCTTCGGTCGCACTCCCACCTCTCTGCCTTCCCTCACGCCTATCCTACCCCTCCCCCATGCTTGGGTCCTGACCCCTGATTGTCCAGCGCCTTGGGACGTCCTCCCGACGTGAAAGGCTCTCTATAAATGTAATTTTGTTGTTGATTGCAATACACTGAGGTCATTTTATACCATCTACAACTTAGGCTAATACTCCAGTGCAATACTGGGAGATTGTTAGGATCCAATTTTTTTGGCTGAGATATTAAGCCAAGTTCTGGTCTGGCATAGGGTAGAACAGTAATGGGTAGCAGAGTAAAGAATAAGATAAAGTACAATATAGATTAGGATAATGAAGTGTAGGGTTTAATACTGCACATAATAGGATAGTATAGGGTATAGTACAGCATAGACTAGGACAATACAAGATATAATACAGCGTAGAATCTGACAGTAAAGAATAGGGCAGGATAGCAGGTCAGGATAGACAGTACAGCATAGAGTCGGATAACATAGGCTTGTGTACGTACTGGATCTCCAGCTGCAGTCATACAGCGCTGGATCAGCCCTTCAAATGTGGTCTTCAGAACAGCATGCTCTTCTGGAATGGGCTTCTTGGCAATTTTCTCAGTGGTTAGTGGTTGTACTGGCTGATAGGAGAAAAATCAGATACTGTGCACTTCTCGTCAGATAGTAGTGACCCATCTTATCTTTTTTGAACCACAATGTATCACAAAGTTTTCAACACAAAGAGCTTGGCAGCAACAACAGTGACTTTGTAAACAGACTGGCCTCTCTACTCTACACAGTGCTCAGATATACCAGGTTGAGTAGGGTGTCAGCTTCTCCTGCCACTTGCCTGGGGTCATAGTGGGGCACGGAAAAGAGAAAAAGTGCTGGAAGTCTGAAATGTAAACACAAAATGCTGGAGATATACAGAGAGGGAAGGTACATTAATAATTCAGCATTAGTGAAACATTACACTCAAAGCATTAACCTATATTTCCCTTTTAGATGCTGATCACTGGACTGTGTATTATATACATACACACGTTCCTCCAGCGATGGGAGAAGGCTCTGCATGGTCAACAGGAATGTGAACACTGACTGATTTTCTCTACATGATCTGAGGCCAGGTTCAACACTCTTAGCTATCCATTCAGATCAGCAAACTCAGGACAGACCACAGATCGAATCTGACACATTCCTGGCCTACATGGCTCTAACTGCTCAATGGGTAAGCGTGTTGAGCCATGGGGATGGGGTGGGGAGAGATTTAACAGGTTTAAGAACAAAAGCAAACCTTGTACCAAATGCATATATTTTACGCACCTGCATAATGTCCCCAGTAGGTGCACCAGGTGCCTCCTCTGAACTGTGCTTTGGTGTCTGTAGTGTTGGTTGTATCCCTGTCTGAGGTATTGCTTGGTATGGATTATGATGCACCTGCTGGCTTGGGTGCTGCTGGAATGAAGCTTGTAGTGGAAGATGAGCAGAAGCCTGAGGCAGCTGCTGCTGCATTTGGACTTGAGGGTCTGCCATCGGGTTCATGATGGGAGCTGTGATGGGTGCAGGGGGAGTATAATTGCCTGGAACCTGGAAGAATATTGTGAGTTAAAAAGGTCAGGCTGTAGAGTACTCTGGTTGGGCTGCACCTCGAGGAGTGAATACAGTTGTGGTCACTGTAACACAAGGGGGAGGTGCAAAGGAGAGAAATGTGGATGATCACCTGTGTTAGAACAATGAACCTTGAGCAATTATTACACAACTAGAAATCTTGAATGTGATCTTAAAAAAATGGCCTGTTGAGCCATTTATTAGATCACATTCAATTTTCCTGCTTTTTCTCCATATCTCTCAACACTTGTACCTATCAAGTATCTATCTCCTCCCCTTTAAAGATCCCGATTGATTCTGGATCTACGATCTTCTGTGGCACTACATTTCACATTCTCACAACTCAAGAGTGGATCTTATAGAGGTACATAACATTTTAAATGGAACTGAAAAGGTAAACCCAGACAATGCTTTACGATGTACCAAAACAGTATAACAAGAGGACATAGGTTTAGATTTGCAAAAGGTAATTTTGGAACCGATACTAGGAAGTTTTTCTTGACTTGGAAGGGAATTAATGACTTGAACATGTTTCCAGGATGGATGGTTGAGGCCAGGACTTATTAAAAAAAACAACTTGATGATGTGATAGGACAGTACAGTGGGTGTAGTGGAGGGATGAGATCAGATGGGCCGAAGGGCTTTTTTCATGCAAACCAAACTTACGATTTTAAAAAAAACACCCTAATTTGCTTGATAAGTAACAGTGAAGAACAAAGCACTATTCAGCTGGGAAGTCAGAGCTATAATTCCTCTCTCAGTTTGACGTGGAGTCCTGTAGCTCAGTGGTTAGAGCACTCACTTTGCAAGTGAGAGACCTGAGTTCAATTCCAGGCAGGGCGAAACCTTGGGCAAGTTTCCTTACTCCACACGTCAAATAATAATCCCTCCAAAACCAAAAATAAATTGGTCATTTTCAATCTACAACTGTTTGTGGGACATTGCTGTGCGCAATTGGCTGCCGCGTTCGCCCACAAATATACAGTCAATTCACTTTACAGTGTGTTCTGTGAAGCGCTTTGGGACATCCTCCCGACGTGAAAAGTGCTATATCAAATGCATGGATTATTATTATGATATACTAATACTTCAGTAAAGAATACATAGCAATTGATAAACAGGAAGAGGGCATTTCAGCCTGTTGAGCCATTTATTAGATCACATTCCATTTTCCTGCTTTTTCTCCATATCCCTCAACACTTGTACTTATCAAGTATATCTCCTCCCCTGTAAAGATCTTGATTGATTCTGGATCTTCTGTGGCACTACATTTCACATTCTTACAACGCTTTGTGTTAAGAAATGTTTTCTGATCTCACTTCTAATGGGATTAGCTCTTAATTTTAAGTTATTGAGGCTGAAAAAACACCTTGTTACTAATGCTTCACTATTGGTATGTACTGGAAGAGACATGTCACTTGCAGTGAACTCCCCTATCACCCCACCCCAACTGTTCCCATCACATTGCAAACTTCCCTGTTCACTTTCTAAACACCTACCTCTAGGCAGTTTGATGTTTCTGGCTGTGAGGCACTGATGATGTGGTGGTTGTGCTATTTGGTCACTTTTCAACCTCTATGTTCCCTTGTTTTGGTTTCCTGTAGCAGAATGAAGCACTCCCCTCCCCCATCTAACTTGTCAATCCCTCATTCAATTGAAACACCTCAATCAGTTACCTGAAAATCTCATATGCACATCGACAATTAACAATAAGTGATGAACGTATAAGTCAGTTACAACTTTAATAATTGAACATAAAACTGAAAACATACCACAATCTTTTTCTTTGGCATCCTGCTTAAAGCCGGAGGATCATTCCAACCATTCTGAGGTCCTACAGAAAAGAATTGTGTGTCTTTTAATCTGAATTACATACAGAGAACAAATAAAAATGTTTACATGAACTTGTACCTCAAGTGTTCAAACAGCAGTCTCATCATCAATTTTAAAACTCTGTTCCAAATTGTTACCAAATGTCCATTACATTTTAATTGTCAAGAATTTAACAAATTAAGTTAGTAAGGAAGAACTGGTTTCAGACAGCAGTGCGACTGAATGGTGGAGCACTTTGAAGGAGGATTTATGTTTATAAACTGCGCTTTTATTTTTCAGTTTTCAATGCAAATATGAATTAGCAGCACTTGTGGTGGTATTACAAGTATTAACTGCAGTGAAGAAACTGCAATTGATCCAACACACACTGTCTGTTTCTCGTCTTGTCCAGCAGATAGCACTAAATCAATGAAATTGAGTTCAGGGAATGACAAAAATCAAATTACAGTCAATTTCATAATTGAACAAACCAGTTTCCCGGTTGTTCTCCAGATAGATTAGAAAGGTAAACAGAGCAGACATTAACACAAGCCCACTCCCTCAAACATCTCAACTTTGTGTCCTACTCATGTAACTGGATCAAACACACAACAGGTTACGTCTTATAGGACCTTATTGCACCCAAATGTCTCATAATACCTCCAGGATAATTAATGTCAAGAATAGTGACTGTTTTGCAGGGAGTGTCAGCTTGGGCTAGAGTTCAAACATGGGCATGAATGTATAATCCTGCAACACATAGGCGAGAGTGATAAGAACTGAACCAAGCTGAACCCTAACTCAGAAATGACCTTGTCATGTGTTGATAATTGTTGCTACTTGTTCACCTCTCAATTATCATTAGATCTTTCTCAAGTGTGTGACCAGCATGTACATGAGCAGACACTGTTGCCCCCAAAAGCAAGAGTACAGTTTCAAGGAGTGGTTTATTCAAAGTCTCTGGAGGCATGAGAATTAAACTCTCCACTCTATCCCCCTGCGCTCCCCACCCCCCCAGCCTGTGTTTGAGAGCTGAGCCCGCCTGCATAGGTGGGAAATGTGGTCATTTCTCAGAGATTCGGAACAACCTGCAGCCAGGAACACTTGAGAGAACAGTGGATAACCTGTGTTTGAACCACATGTGGTTGGTGGCAGAGAGAATGGGGGTGGATTTGGCAGACAGTTTCCCGTGGTACTGTGGAGCCACTTGCACTGAGGCCACCCCGCAAATCTAATACAAATAAGGCAGGAAAGGTTCACTATCACTGTGCCACCCACACACCAGCAACTCCATACAACCAGGTGGTGATTGGTTACAAGCAGGGTGCTTCAAAACCCTGCGCCTGCCAATGACATTATAACTTGTAGTAAAGTTGCAAAATACTTTGGGGTAAGAAATGATTATTTTCCACATCCTGATACTTGTATCAGGTTATAATTTCTGACATAAAATATTTCTTGTTTTACAGCCCACAGAGGATCGAAACCAAATCCATAAACGAGCAATACAGGAGCACTTTTCTTAGGCTATAATGAGGATTTCAACAAGGTCATCTTCAAAATTCAATGGGAACTTTCCATCTCTCGTTTTTTTTTTCCCCTTGGAATTTTTTTCCTCGGCTTCAAAGTTATCCTGAAACCCCATAAGTTTCCATGACGTTTGGAATCAAACCTGATCAGAAGAAATCTTCCAGTAATTCCACCTCCTCAGGATCAATAGCAACATATCCAAGTCAGGGGACAACTTGATGACAATGAAAGTGACTTTTAATTCAACTGGGACAATATATGTCTTGAATGAGCGTTAAAATGGAGAGGTAGGTTGAGAGAGAATGGTCTGATGAGCTGTGTGTTTTGATCCCTGATGCACTGTGGACTTCACACTATCCAAAACCTCAATGGGCTTTAGAACGAAGTTCAGAATTGCACACATCTTCCCACCCAGCACTGAACTTCAAATCACTTCTGTTTAGAGTGCTGCAGTTCCCCCAAATTCTCACTCCATTCACCAGAGCTCTGAAAATCTACCTAATCTTGGCTATTTTGTCATAAAATGCAAGATTGGGCAGAATTGTGAAAAAATCTTAATTTTGGAAGCCAGTTCTTTTTAAGAAATGAGGTGAACCTGCTTAAAATTAAGACTGAATGTAAGAATGTTCCACTATTTTGCATGATCTCAAACCTTAGGAGAAATTGTTTTTTTTTTACAAAGAGTAGTTGGGATTCTGAACCCCAGCTGTTGCGGTAGCACTTTTTAATACAGAGGAAGGAACGGCCATTAGAGGCTGTACTGTATGTGAGCAGTAGCTCTCATCCCCATTATTGTATAATACTTGTGCATTTAATAAACATTAAAAATTACACACCTGAAAACTCATCATATTTGAAACTGTGTTTGATGCAAAGACGTGTGCAGTTCTGACCTTCCATTTATACCAATTAAAATACAGCTTACAAATAACTGAAATAATTTAATGCAATATTATCAAATATTCTTAGTTTTACTCATTCGTTGTGATTTGCTGTCTGCTAAAATTGGTTTTGAATCAACAAAAATGATTCCAAAAATCAAAGAGAATTTCAGAAGTAATATTTGACCAAATCTAGTTCACCTTCTAAAAAATCAGTTGGGTCCTGGGGAAATATGTTTCCTGTAGATAAAAGCAAAATGAATTCAGCGCAAAAAGAGACACATACTTTAGTTACCTTAAATACTGATGGTTTTGGGGCGGTATTATTGGATAAATCAAAAGTATAATAATAATAATCCTTGCATTTTGATATAGCGCCTTGTCACGTCATTGAAAGTTCTCAAAGCGCTTCACAGAATATATTGTAAAGTAAATTTAGTATATTTTGTGAGTGAAACGCTAGTTGCGTGCAATTGTGGATTTTTTTTAAAAGTAATTATTACCTCCGGAAAGCAATCTGCCAAATGACTAATAACCGAATTCCTACTTACTGCTAGGCAAACAGAGGGATGTGGAGTAAGGGCACTTGCATAAGGTTTGGCCCTGCCCAGGAGTCGAACCCAGGACCTCTCGCTTGCCATACGAGTGCTCTAACTACTACTCTACAAGACTCCAAAGTGTATATTATTAAAAGTAATAACCCCTTGGAACGAATACATCTGCTCGTGTTTCTTTTAACAAACTACTTCTCAGTGTGTGCTTTTTAACAAGTAGAGCATACTCACAAACATTTGATAGGATTACTTTACCAAATATTCTGAATACTTCATTGCTCAAACTGTGTCGACACCGGGAATGAATGAATCTGCTTCTTTACTGGGAATAAGTGACCTGATTCTTCCCTTAGATCCATGTCCTCACCAGGAATGAGTGACCTATGGCCTCATTAGGAATTAGTGATCCAATTTCTCACAGGGAATTAGTGACTCGACATATATGCAGCTGATATTGTTACACACCAAACACAGGCTGTATGTAGTCTGGATACACCAAACACAGACTGTAGTCTGTATGTATCCATCCTGGAAGTCAGACACTCCATTTAGGAGTGCACTATCGCTAAGAACAGCCTCCTTCTGCTGCAGGGCCTGCACGGGCAGCTCACCACCGTGGAGCTGCGGGACGAGAGCAGTGCGCAGGGCTGGCTGCTCAATGTGGACGCCTTCATAAACATCCGCCTATAGGCCGTGGCCTCCACTGACCGGTGGGTCCCGCCTCACCCAGCTCTTCATCACCGGCAGGAACGTGTGCTACGTGCACGTCCTTGACTAGGTGGATATCATGGACACCATCGAGCGGCAGATGGAGCAGACCCACCGCGTCAGGAACTTTGGGAGCAAAGATGAGGGAAGGAGGGAGTTCCCGTCCAGGAAATGACCCCTACCGCACAGGGCATTGGGGGTATCTCCCCCCAACCCTGGGCATTAATAATAATAATTTAGTCACTTTAATCCACGACTGTGTGTGGGACACTGCTGTGCGCAACTGGCTGTCGCATTTCGTCCACAAAATATACAGTTGATTCATTTTACAGTATATTATGTGAGGAGCAATATCAAATGCAAGGATTATTATTAGTACATCAAACAGTCTGCAGGCTGTATCCACACCAAACACAGTCTGCAGCTATATACACACCAAACGCAAGCTGGAGTCTGTGCACATCAAGTGCAGGCTGCAGACTTGATACACTAAACACGGCTGCATGCACTAAAAGGTTACAGACTCTATTTATCAAACAGAGGCTGGAAGTGCTGCTGTGTACACACCTTTCGTTTAGAAATCTATATGTATGCACATCACTGAGGTGAGGAGGAGCTCGAGTTATCACAGAGCAGCACTCCTCATACCCGACGTAGTTCCAGCAGCAGTATGTTTACTGAACCTTGGTGCAAGATACGTTTGAAGCACAAACCAAGTCATAAACAGAGCAGGTTGAAGACCTCACGTCAGAGCACGGTTAATTGCAAAGTAATGCTTAAAATAAAAGTTGCCGTGTCAGACAATCACCTGTTTATCCACCTCAACAATAGTATGTTAAACAGTGCACACAATCTCATATCATGCTTCTGTGCTATTTTACATTTGTAAAAGCGAAATATTTACTGTCATCTTAATACTAATACTGAATAAAGCAGACATAGTTGAAGATAAGAGTGGGCACTAAATGGACTGCTCCATTGTCTGTAAATACCTGAAAAAGGACTGAAGCTTTTTTGAGCTAGATTAACGTTTAGAATTTATGTAAAGAGGATTGGATTATAGAAGGGAAAAACATTTAAGTTTTATAATGACTTATTATTTTGAAAGCTTTCAAAGTGCTGCATAGGTTAATTACAGAAGAGTGTAGTAACTGTGTTTTGTAGAGCATACACCAGGCATTTTTGCATTTGGAACATTGCCACAAACAGCCATGAGATGAATAATCAATTAATCTGGAGGATTACTGGTCAGAAAGGTTACCAGCACAAACTCCCTTCTCTTTCAAATCGTTATCATGGAATCCCTAACATCCTGAACAGGCAGAAGGGAACTTGGTTTCATGTCTTTTCTGAAGGATGGCACCAATTCCCCAGAACTACACTGGAGTGTAAGCGCTCTGGGATGCTACTCTGCATGAGGGGCGCTATATAAATGCAAGTTGTTGTTTTTGTTGGGACTATTGCCCTAAACCTTATCAGTTGGCTTGTACAATATGAAAATTTGAAAGTTAGTCAGATAATATATAATAAAACTGGTGGAGGTGTGAAGATGAAACTGACAGTTCTGGTCTGTGTTTGATGAAGCGTGAGGATATTTAGGAAGACTTATACTTATGAAGAATCGGTTTGTTTGCTTTAATGATTGAGGTCAGAAGTTTAAGAGAGCCAGAGATAAGATAATGACTGGGTAATACAGGCTTTCCCCCCTTCCCACTAGTGGCATGGGGATGGGATTGGGGGCAGAGAGGAGGACTAAAGTTTAGAGTTTATGTTAGTTGATTGAAACAAAACGTAGCAGAAAAGATGCACCATTTGAGCAGTATCACTTTACAGTGGCACAGCTCTCCATCGCGCAGATTACAAGTCACTTAAATTTAAAGCCTTTTGTACTATTTAAAGAGATAGCTTCTTCATGCAAAGAAGTTTTTTGACAAAGCTGTGTTTGTTTGTGAGGAGTGAGAAGAGGCTTGTGCTGGTTCCATTCTGAGAATATCACACACCTGTCATACAACACGTTCTTGTTAAAAGAGATTTGCATTGTGTTAGATGCTTGTGAACAAGCCGGGTGAGGTGGGGTTGGAAGATTAAGAAAAGCAACATTTCACGAAGATGGTGAGTGACCATTTGAGAAATGAAAGACCATGCAGGAGATGCTGCTTCCTATAGACTGACAGATCTAAAAATCCACATGCTTTTTGTATTAACTGTGATGCTGCAGAGATTTCAATGATGCCAGCAGCTTAACATTCAATGCAAAACAACATGCAACAGCTAGCTCAAAACGAGACTAAACCGCGTGCCAACGACCAACCCGCTGGCCATAGTGATGTACCTGTTGGTCCAGTCGGTAGTGCATAGCCTGAAGAAGAGGCTGGAGCCCCAGGCCCGCCATGCTGGTAGGACGCTCCAGAGAGAGAAGGGGGGAAAGGAGAAGCGGGGCCAGGGATTGGAGGGGATGCCTGCGACGGTGCTGGGTACGGTGGGGCTGTGGAGTGAGAAGGAGCAGAAGGCAAGTAGCTGGAAGGGTATGAAGAAGGAGGTGGAGGGGCAATGGGCTGATGAGGTTGATATAAAGTGGGTCTCCCTGCTCCCTGGGGATACTGTTGTGGTTGGTAAGCTATGAAAAAGAACAAACCACATTATTATTAAATCAGTAAACAAGCAATAACACAGCCACTGGACATTTATCAGGGTATTAACCCCAGCAAAGCATGAAGTACTGCATAGCTCAGCTGTTTCACCATAGATATGAGGTCAGCAAGACTGTGGGTCCAAGTCTCAGCCCTTCACCTTTGTGATAAAATAAGTAATACATTTTAAAAAATTGAGTCGGAAGAAGAAAGTGGATTCTAGCTCTGGGTGTGATGGTCTTAATTACATAGAATTACACAGAATTTACAGTATCAAAACAAACCACTTTGCCCAGGTAAACTATGCCAGTGTTTATACTCCACACGAGTCTCCACCCCTCCTAAACCCGTCTATCCTTACGCCCCTATATCTTCTTTTCCCTCATGTATGCATCAAGTTTCTCATATATGAATTGATGGTTTCTGCTTCAACCATGACTTCCGGAAGTGAGTCCCACCTTCTCACCACACTGTGTGGATTGAGTTCAGTTTAAGAATCCTGTTTATAACAGCAACTTTAAGTGTTTAGTGAATGGAGCATAAGAGCATCAGGTGAGGCTAGGATATGGTTTGGATGCAGAGCTGAACAGCTCGGCAAAGCACTCTCTATCTGGGACCATATATGAAGAATGGACATTTTGTCGAAGTACCAGCATTTTCACCCAATAATGTGTGAGCGTAAACACAGAGGACAGCAGAGGGGGAAATAGGAACAGATTAATTTCTTTAAAATCTATTTTATACAATCAGCTAAACCTACGCGGCTTCAGAAAATTAGCTGTGCACAGAAAGGTAACGACTGGTGAACAAATGCAATTTTACTCGAGGTAACAAAGTGTCCTCACTAAACATTAAGTGATTGCTGGATAACCTGTATTTATCTGATGTCTTTTCATACTATGTAACGCTTATTACTACCCCCTCCCCAATTGTACAAAGAGTACAAACAAGCAGAGGCAAATGAGCGTACTTACTTTGAGGAAAGCCAGGACGAGTGCTGGCCTGGGAATACATACTGTATGCAGGTGCTGCTGAAGGCTGCGGCAGGACTTGGCCACTGGGATTGGGAAACCCCTGCTGTATAAAACCTGCTGGTGGTGGAGCTTCACCCTGAGGAGAGGAGGAAGGCAACACAAACCATAAAGGCAAGCTCATGTATAGATCACGTTTAGAACAAAGTTTCTTGCTTCAGTTACTCCGGCTCAGTTGGTAGCACTCTGGCCTCAGAGTCAGAAGGCTGTGGGTTCAGTGCTGGGGACCTGCTGCTTTGTTGGAGATGCCATCCTTCCAGTAAGATGTTAAACCAAAGTCCCATCTGTTTGTTCAGATGGACATTAAAGATACCAAAGCACTATTCAAATAGAAAAAGGAATTTCTCTTGGTGCCCTGGCCAACAATCCCCCAGATAAAATTGGTCATTCACTTCATGGCGGTTTGTGAGACATTGATGTGCCACAAATTGGCTGGCGTGTTCACTAACACAATGGCGACACTTTAAAATAAATCGTGAAGTACTTTAGAGATGTCTCCGAGATGCAATAAGGTACTATATCAAATGTAAGCATTATTATCATAATGTTTTAATCAGTGCACTGTCTTAAGAGGATGACCTCTATAAATTAAAGAGTTAAACCAAATTCAAAGGATGATGAATTCCATTAGTTTACTTAGTCCCCAGACAGAAAACGTTTCATCACCCACGGGGGTGGTAAGAATGTAGAATGTACAGTCCAGAAAATTGCAGATGCAGAATCAATCTGTACGTTTAAAAATGGAAATCGATAGACAGATATTTGGGAAGCAGGGAATTGAAGGATATTGAGAAAAGCAGAAATGATGGCAAAAGAAATTAGTGGTTTAAATTGCCTATTCCTAGTTCTCCCCCACCCCCTGTTCTTTGTGCTACATATATAACTTACATTTTGGCATTACGCCTTATCATGTTGTTGAGATGTATCAAAGCACTTCACAGGGTATACTGTAAAGTGGAGTGACTGCGTATTTTATGGGTGAAATGCTGCTGCCAGTTTGCGCACAGCAACGTCTCACAAAGAGCCATGATTCGAATGATCAATTTTGTTTTGGGTGATTATTGGCCAGGACACCAGGGAAACTGCCTTCTCTTTTCGAATAGTGTCATGGTCAACGTGGGATCTTTAGTGTCCACGTGAACAGGCAGATCTCGGTTTAATGTCTTGTTTGAAGGACGGAACCTCCGACAATGCAAGACATCCCTGGCACTCCACTGGAGTGTCAACTTAGCCTGTGTGCTTCCAAGTCCACATATGTGGGATGCAGTGATATATGCGGTATGTAAAAAAGCATCTGTGTGTCAACAAGCAAAGTGGAATGGGCATGATTGCCTGTCGTTGTTGCAACCATTCTTCTGGCACAGTAGAGAGGAATAGATCAATGTTGCTGTACCTGGGTGTTAGACGTAGAGGCTGGTGGAAGCCTGGGGAGGGCAGTGGAGGTCTGGTTACTCCATGATGTGACAGTAGGGGCAGGTCTAACCTGAATCAAATACAGACGCACAACGATAAAGGAAAAAAAATAAAGAAACACACAACAAACCCCCTGAACATACAGAGTTAACAAAACACAAACCATGCAGAAAAAATACTGCATAGAAAAATAATAAGCATTCAGACAAAAAGAAAGGGCATTTCAGCATAGACATGTAACACTGATAAGGTGGGCAAATAAAACTTTATGTAAGAAAGGAGACTCAGAAACAATTATGCGAATTTCCTGAATTAGAAACTCCTAGGAACATGGAGTATTGGAGTAGGAGAATAATCAGCCCAACTACCTCTCTTCTGATCTCTAACCAGTGTGACTTTGGGGACGTAAACACTGGGTGAGGTTGAGCTCAGATATGATACCAACACCCCCCCAACATGGATACATGCTGACATGGTAACCAGGATGAGTTATTGGAGGGCCTGCTAGCACTTGTAACACTACCCCACCACAAGTAAATGTCTCCTTAGGGAGAAGAGAGAAGAAAATCGAGAAGGAAGAGAATTCTCTCAAATCTGCTCTGAAAAAATGGATTGCATTAGCTGTCCTTAAAAGGAAAAGAGAAGTGTTTTGTGATCCACTTGAGCTTGATTTCCCCACCCACCCCCTGGCTGTATTGAGCATCTAATGAGGGAGAGGTTCTCATTTCCCTGGAGCCTGTTTCCATCCTCTAGATAGTTATGTATCTATGTGTGGTCTGTTTTTTGATATATTTATATACTCTCACACATTATTCTTTGTATATAATTAGTGACTATTAGCTGCTGACTATAACATTCTAGACTTATAATTGAATCTCTGCCCTCATTTTGGGTCCAATGGAAGGATTTCAATGTGTTGTTCGCACTCCACTCAGTGATCACAGACAGATAGTGAGTGACATCTCAGAGACATTGTGCAGTGTGTATGTTACTCGTGACCTCGCACACAATATTGTTGGGTGGAGGGAGTGAGCTGAGATAAACATTTATTTTCTATTGCAGCTACCAAGTAACAGAGTTGTTGTATGTCCAACTTCTATCACAGTGTTGCTATGTCCGAAGCACATGTCTGAAGTATAAAAGTTCTGGGTTAAAAGACTAGAGAGAATATGTGGATAGGCTGAGTCAATAGAATCACTCAAAGAGGTACTTGACAAGCAACTTGGCAGTAAAACCATATGGAATAAGGGATATCATTATCCAAAAAGCTTTGAAAAAACAGGCAGCAGTGACATAGATATGATAAGCTGAATATACAATACAATTTACATTTATATAGCCCCTTTAACATCAGGAGGATGTCTCAAAGTGCTTGAATGGCCTCCCCTTGCTGAAAATATCTACCATGTAAAAATATTTTTGTGTGGCATGTATGCAGTTCCTTTGGTCTTGTCAGCTACTAGTGGGATATCCCATTCTAATGGCACATCACCACTAGCAATGTGCATAATTACCAATATAATTTTTACTCCCTGCTTGTAGTTGATGATCACCCAGTACTAGTTCACTGTGCTCCATCACTGAAGATCGGTTCACGCACTGCTTCACTGCCTTGTTCTCAACAAGACCTCTCATTTGATCTCATTAAATAGAGTGCTGCATAATTTAAAACTCAATTTGTTTTTTTGTTTTAAATTGCTTATGTAATCTCCAGATATTTCTATTTTTCTCACATAATTTTGATTAAAAAATTAAACAGTTCTTAATTTAATTAAGTATCTCCTTTTTGATGAATGTTCACCAATCTGTCCATTTGAGGCCATGTTTGCATAAGACCAATGACTTGGCATTTATGAGTATTATTTTTCTATAAACTGTTTCAGGTTGTTTTTCATCTGTGTAAACAAATGCTTCCTGGTTCCATCCTGAGATTGCCGTTTGTGTCCCTAGACCTGCTCCCTTTTTGCCTGCTGCTTCAGGTCGTGCACTAACCAGTGCACGCTGGTAAGCAGAAGCCACAATGGTTCTTTCAGACAAAAGCTTATATTTTTTTTCACACAACAACTTACATCCATATAATGTGGAATAGCATCTCAGAACTCTTAAACAACAACAGTAGCTATTAGCGCATAATGACTGTCCAGTGGCGCCTGCTGGACAACATTGCAAATAGCAAGTATTCGTTTGTGTAAATGATTTGCTGCCATCCAGCTACAGAGATTCATAAATGCCCCGGGAGGTTGGTGAGCTTGCCATTTATTGGAAATTGTCATGGACCATCATTCTTATCTCTTCTTGCCATGATTTCCCTTATACAATATAATTTACATTTATATAGGAAAAATCATGCTCATTCAAACCTAGAGAGGAGAAGGGAGGAAAATGGAAACAAAACGAGATACTAAAACCTCAGACAGCACTCAAGCATGAACAGCTTGCTGGATTATCAGAATCTGCTTTAGAATGGTCTGTTAACAGACGTCTTTCTCTCCAGGTCTATGAATTTGCTTTCCAGTCAGTCACGTTTTCAAGCTGTTTTAGTACGGGGGCAGGGGGAGGTGGTACAGTGGGTTTGCCCATATTTTCCACCTCTAGGGACCAGTGAGGACAGCTAAAGTAAAAGTCTCCTTTTGACATAAAGACTTCCGGGTGCATGTGTTTAGTCAGTCTCAGTCCCAAATTATCCCTAATTGTTCAGTTGTAAATCTGATACTCTGTTTGACACTGAACCTTATGGCCCAAGAAGGTCTCGAGTATATTGTGAGTCAGCTGGTGTTACATCAGTGGGTGCCTGTGCATGTGGTGTATGTGTCTGGGGGTGGCAAATGACCTCAGCACACTTGGGCTCAGAACAGCTACAAATTGGAAAGGGATCCTGCTCCTGACAGTTATCCATTGACCCTAACTGGAAAGTGTGCATGTGGGTGGAGACAAACATCTGGCGAGGGTAAGGAGCAGGCTTGGCTCTGATATCACCCACAGTCACATGGCCCATTACTTAACACAAATGAAGAATTCAGGAGGAATCTCACCCCAACAGGAACCAGAGGGAGGTAAAGGAAAGAGATTTGGAAGAAAACAAGTGATAATTGCTCAGTCTGAGCTTCACCTTTCACTTTACGCAGACATCTGCTCAATCAGCAATATCAAGTTAGAAAAACAAGGATTACCCGTTAGAAAGAAATTCTTGACAGCACATATTAAAATGCTAAAACATTAATCCTCAACGCTGAAATGTCTTCCCCATTTCATGGAGGGGAAAAAAGGCCTCTCACAGCAGCCTTACCTGTGGGTAGTACTGCTGGGTCGTTGCTTGCTGCTGATTCTGTCCAGGAGCAAAGGAAGGGCCTGGGGTCCCGTCTCTCCCTCTTGTGACTTGCTGCATCTGGTCTGGGAAGGGAGCCGACTGCTGTCCCAAGGCCTGTTCACCCTGAGCACGGAACAGTCGATCCCGTAAATGCATGATCTTCAGCTGCCGAGAAAGAGTGAGAGATTATAACACAGGTACAGTTTCTGACAGAAGAGACCCACTGATTGACCCATCAAACTACCCATCCAACTTTCCAAAAGATTCCTTTAATACATCAACCTCATCATAGTCAGCCTGGCTCTGTTGGTAGCATGCTTGCCTCTGCCAGAAGGCTGTGGGTTAAAACCCCTCAGTGGGGACTTTGAGCTCTTCTCAGTGGAGAGGAGTAAAAACTGAAGAGTATAAATCATTTAGTAAAAACAGTGATGACTGACATGTCACCCATCATCATGTCAATCATTACAGGTATTGCTGAATGGTTTGAATTGCACTGAGCTGCCTGTTCTAGTGGATGGCAATGATTCCCATGATAATATTTGAAAAGAGGAGGAAGCTTCTCCTGGTGTTGTGGCCAACAATTTTCCAGACAACCCCAATCTGTTATCCATCATGTCAGTCAGTACAGTTTTTACTAAATGGTTTGAACAGCATTGAATATATATGCAGTAGATATGGGGTAGAAAATATTCTCTCCTAGTTGATAAATTTAACAAACTTGGTGAGCTTATTGTATTAAAATTACAGAGCAGCAACGAATCAAGGTAAAAGGATAAGTATGTACAACCGAACAAGTGTATACCGAGTCTCTAAAAATGCTAATTTTACTCAATACTTTGTTTTGGGATTTAGTTTACAGGTAATGGCATGAAAAATTATTTCTCATACAACTATAACTCCTTTATCTCATAAAAATCATAAAATAATTGTATTTTTAAAGAATAATTCATTGTTAAAGTCTGACAAGCTGTCCCCCTAATGTAGTGCATGGAATACTTCATCTTGTGTGTGCCTGCAAGTGAGATAGAGTTGAGGGTGAGTGAGGGGGTGCAAGAATACGGGGATTGGAATAGGGGAAGCAGTGAGAGAGGGGACAGGGAGCAGTGGGGAACATAGGCAAAGGGTGGGGGAACAGGGGAGGGCAGGGATAGTGATATGGACTGATAGTGGGGGAGGGGCAAGCTTTTTAGCTTTTACCTGACTGGTGTCAATCGGCAGGTAGGACAGAGCAGCCAACAGACTACCCTGGGCAGCCAGCAGATTGGCGTATTGACTCATCTTCTCCGCAAGAACGTCTCCCACTCCATTGTTGTTCGTGCCCTGCCGAAGCTCGATGGCTTTACGTAAAACCACCACTTTCTCAATCAGATCCTGAAATAGAGAAACCCAGAGAGCAGAGAGAACATTAGCAGCCGGCTCCACGGGGAACAGGGGCAGGGTCTTTAAAAGGTGACACCGTGCAGCTGGAAAGGGCCACAATAGTGACAGGTGTTCTGTATGATTCACCCCTGGTGGCTGTCAAGAGAGATGTTTTGCTAGAGTCTGAAGTAGAGCAGTTTTCAACCGCCCTGGTTCAGCAAACGTTGGGGGTTTTGTTTTCGATTTTTCTCCTCTCCTCCTGCCCCGAGGTATTGCCTCCTTTTTCCTTTCACTGGGCTATAGTTTCACAGACACAGGACAGACCCCTCCAGTATTTTGCCCCAAGTGTGTCTATTATCCATGTGCTAGAAAGGCTTCCTCCTGCTCCTATGTTCCTAACGTCCTGGCTCCTGTGTTCCTCACCTGAAGAGCCAGAGGTGAACTTCCACCTTGAGCTTTATCCCAGCAGGCCACCAACTTCTCCACATTCCCAGCACAGATGTAGCACAGGCAGGCCTGGGCCTGTAGACTGCTGTCATCCTCACTCTCCAGCCGGGATCCCAACAGATCTGAACCAGAAACAAATTACTTGCAATTTCTTTTAGTTATAACACACCTCCCCATTTGCATTATTTTCTAAGAATAAAATAATAAATTAGAATTAAATTAAACTGCACTGATTATAATGGCATAGCCTCTATGATTTGTAATAAAACTAATGGATTTAGCGGTGTCCTGTCACATAAAAACAACAATAGTGCTGGCACATGTAAAGCAGTCCACTCAACAAAGGGTTATATTTCTCCTATTTGGTTGCTGTTGATTACATTTTGGAAAATCTTTTGTAAATCTACATGCTGACATGCTTGCGTGCTCGCACACATACGTACATCTAATTCACATGCATCACACGCATGCACACAAATGCACGCCCCATTTACACAAATGTACATCCGTGTGCACACAAGCACGTGTGCTGGGTCCATCCACTCCCAGTACACAACCACACACGTGCAAAAAAGACAGGTGCATACTTATACATGCAGTCATGCATACACGTACACAAGCTGAAAGATTAGTGAAACTTTACTAACAGAGCAGTTTGGAAATAAATCATTGGAGCATGATCGAGTTTCTTTAGGACATGCTATTCCAGAATTAATGTCAGGAGAGAATAAAGAGAGAAGCTCTACTGACCACAAAGTGCTGCAAACTCGTCAGGTCTCGCGTAGGTCAGCAGAGCAGCCAAAGCTTCCTTCCAGTTCTGCAGGTCACACGACTGAACAATCTCCGGCCAGTCTCTCGTCACAACAGCATCAATCAGCTAAATCGCACACCCAAAACACAGAGGTCTGCATCAGAACAGCTCGACGTATTAAAGAACACACCAAATACTAAAATAACCAGTGACATAAGGTGCGATATCAAATGCAAGGATTATTATTATTATTATATGGCCACTTACCCTAGTGATCTTGCTGTTGGATTTTGCAAAGTATTTTTTTTGCGTTTTAGCTAGAAGGTCCTGTCCTCCAGCTATTGCTAAAATGATAGCATCAGCCATCCGATTGTCATGCAAGCAAAGATCAACAGCTCCCTCGAAGTTACCAGTCAGCAAAGCCTGCTTGATCAGCCCGTCAACATCTGTCGTATGGAAACCAGCTTTTTATAACCATTCCCTCACTCAGACACTGTTGAATTATTGCAATACTTAGTAACATAGGAATGTACAGGGCATTAGACCCATTCCCTTTGATTCACTAAAAAATTATACAGTTGCCTCTTAAAAGTTTCTCACATTGTACGCCTCCCCCTCTCCCTGTACGCCTCCCCCTCTCCCTGTACACCTCCCGCCTCTCCCTGTACGCCTTCCCCGCCTCTCCCTGTACGCCTCCCGCCTCTCCCTGTACGCCTCCCGCCTCTCCCTGTACGCCTCCCGCCTCTCCCTGTACTCCTTCCCCCTCTCCCTGTACGCCTTCCCCGTCTCTCTGTACGCCTTCCCCGTCTCTCTGTACGCCTTCCCCGTCTCTCTGTACGCCTTCCCCGTCTCTCTGTACGCCTTCCCCGTCTCTCTGTACGCCTTCCCCGTCTCTCTGTACGCCTTCCCCGTCTCTCTGTACACCTTCACTGTCTCTCTGTACACCTTCACTCTCTCTCTGTACACCTTCACTGTCTCTCTGGTGTCTCCATGACAAGAGAAAAGATATCAAAGATACAGCATTGTAAATTTTCCAGCCTTTGTGTCTAAAGCCCTAAAGACAACAACAAAATGACATTTATAGAGCGCCTTTCACGTCGGGAGGACGTCCCAAAGCGCTGATTAGTCAGGTGTCGGGGGCCGAGCATGGGGGAGGGGTGGTGTAGGGGTGAGGGAAGGCAGAGAGGTGGGAGGGCAGCCAAAGGCACAATCGAAGAGAAGGGTCTTGAGACCGACCTTGAAGGAGGCAAGGGAGGAAGCAAGGGACCGTGGGATGGAGTTCCAGAGTGTGGAGACACAGGTAACAACTCAAGAGCACAGACCTCCACTGACAGAAATATTGAATTTTGCTTCATCTGTGTCTTGCATTTCAGGTGCAGATTCATCGAGTGCCACATCGTCCTCCTCCTCCTCCTCCTCCGCCTGCACCAACAAACCCAGGTCAGACACAAACACAAACATTTTCATAGATTGGACAACTACACACAATCACCAGCCTTTGCATTCAAAGCACAGTATACCTTCCTCAATGCGTTTTCCAGCATCTGAGGAACAAGACAGGTGAGTGTGCTCTCCAAGTAATGTATGTTCATGCTGGTTGAGATCAGGTTAATAGCACAGCCTAGAGTAAAAATAATCACCGACACCCGCTCCACTGAATTATTGAAGCTTTTACAACTCGAGAGCTTAACCATCGGGACTCAGAGTGCCTGGAAATTCTGGAACGGCTCTGTTCAAGGCGCTGTTCAAGGCACAAAGAAAATTCATGCTGAAAGGCAATTTGCACACAGCAGTGTCCCAAAAACAGTTGTGCATTGAGTGAACCAATTATTTTTTTAATTTATTTTCAAGGAATTATTAACCCTGGAAAAGCGATCTGCGAATCGACTTAACAACCAGGTTCCTACTTAATGCTAGAGAAAACAAAGGTGTGTGAAGTTAGAATAAGAATATTCATTTCTTACGCTGAGAAATCCAGGTAAAGGGTCCTTGGCGCAGGACACCACAAAGTTCAAAGAACAGTAGGAGAGGAAAACGTAAATGAAGCAGTGACTTGCAATGTCAAGCTTGGCTTTTAGCAGACTGTAAACTGTCATTCATGGCACTCTGTTCCAAACTTGTAATTTAGTTACACAATCTCTTTCGTGGAGTCTCGAGGGGATGGGCACAGTGTTTTTTGAAGATTAACACTATCTAAATATGTGTGATATTACCACAATCAGCAGGAAATGCATCAGCCTACACACAATATATTGTCGAGTTTGCTTAATGTTAGTCTGTCAGGCCTAACAAAATTATAATATTATGCATACTCTATCAACAGGGGAACTTCCCTTAAAATGCAAATGCTTTCAGACTGTTCTGAAGGCATTTATAATTTCAACATTAAGAAAAAAAGTTAAAAATCCAATATTTTACTTTAATTTCACAGTAACAAGGTTTTTTTTAAAAAAAATTGGTTATGTTTGATTCTTTTATCTTCTAATTTGAATCACAAAAATAACTGACACTATAGGTACTGTAACAGCCTCTTCTCACTGGACTCGCAATCCCAGGAAGCTATCACCTTGGCTCTTCGTTCTGGATTTCAGATGCCAGATCAATGCTCCAGGACTCTCCAGCAAAACTACACTCCTGGGTATAACATTATTCAATCTTCTTGTTAATCGGGCCCCAAGTTTGTATAACCTTAGACGAATTATAACATTATTTGGCTATAACAATACACAAACTCAAATGTGTACAAAACATAATCGGCATGGCTAGTACCAGCCACCAGTATAACATTGTGCGGATTATAACAAAATAGGTGACTTAACATCATGCGAACTCGACTCTATACAATACAATATACCAAACCACAACAGAACAATTACAACATGCAAAACTATAGCATAAAAATAACATACAAAACTGGAGCATAAAAAACAAAGTATAAAAATAACATGGAAAATTGTAACATGCAAATCTACAATACAGAAAAACTACAACAAAGTTAAGCTACAATGTAGAAAACTACAGCATGCATAACTACAACTACAAAAATAATATGGGATCAATCTAATACCTCCCCCGGGACCTCCTCTTCCATGGTGGGGCTGTCCTCAAGACTTTCTGTTTCCTGCTCAGAGTCATCAGGAGCCTTTAAAGTGGAGCAGTCAAATGACAGCACCATAAGAGTGAAAGAAGCAAGAGTACAGAGCGGACAATAGCACAGCAGAGAGGATTCTGCAACTTGCAGCTTATTCCACAATGTATAACATCAGTGAAATTGTACTATTCGCCCTCAAATATACTATGTTCCATTGTTTGAAACGTTAAGTCATTTGTTTACGATGGTAAGACCTTTTCCATTTGCTTGCCCCCAAAACAAACGGTCCTTGCATTGTCAAATGAAAATGTTTATAAAAGGAATAAGTTAGTACATTAATTTTTGCCCTCCATGACCTTGGTAGGAATTCAGGCTGGATGGATGGGAAAAGAATCTTTGGCTGGCTGCAAGGGCCATGCATGATCCTTTCTGAGTTACAAAAATGGTTTCAATGTACATAAGCAGTCAGATAGAATAACCATTCAATAGTGGCTTCAGGATAATAAATATTGGGCTCATTGACCATAATGGTTGTCATCTTAGTTCAGGTGGTAACGTTCTCTGCTCTGGGTCAGAAGGTTGTGGGTTCAAGCTCCGCATTAGGATTCCAACAGTTTTCACCTGCCAGTTTCTAAATGTGGTTATGTCTCTGTAGTGTTTATAATAGTGTACATCCTCCTCATTCCACCTACAAAACCTGTCCCAGAACATGCATTTAAAGACTTGTACAAATGTTGTTACCACTGTTAAAGTCAAAATGACTACAGACCTGAGTGAATTCTATACTTAATTAAATCCAGTTAAATTAAAGGTGACTGTACCTGATCTGATGGGGTCTTCTCTCCAGTGTTGCCCTCCTGCAGTGTTGCCACAATCTAAAGCAAAATAAGTCTTTTTCACGGTTCCATTCTACATTGTACTCAAGTCTAAACTATATTTTAGGAGATCACAGCTGGTACAGATTTCTACTTAATTCTTTTAGCACTTGAGAACTGCCAGTAAATCTGTGTTTGCATATTGACTGCAGCTGACGCCTGAGCTTTCATCGTTTCTGCGCAATGTGCAGTAGCAAATATCCCTCCCTCATTTTTTTTGGGTCAGCCGGGTGTCAGACATATGCAGAAATCCTTCACCATGCGTAAGAATATCCAAACCGAGCTGAGAAATCCATGGAATGTGTGGTGCATCCCACCTACACATGGAAATCCCAGAGATAGATTGTTGGAATGGAACGCGTACTCTCTCTCTGGAGGGACACATCCTGCTTACCTAATTTCGGAAAGTATTAGGTGCAGGTTGGTAAGAGCCAAGGCTTAGGGACCCCAGAATGCGCATTGGGGTACTGCTGGAGTCTAACCAGCTAAAACCACATAGCTTGCCATTGATATCACTGTCTTGCAACCTTTCCTGCTGCTTGTCCAGCTAAGACCACTCTACCCATTAGTTTGGGCTTCAGGGTTAACAGGAGCTGCGTGGGATGATTCCCTGCCCTGAGTGACTGGTCTGTCCTTCTGAGTCCTGCCAATGAGCTAGGCTAGCTGTGCTGTCGTCAGCAGTGCCCTGGAATACTGTGGACTCGTGTGGCTCAGGAACTGGACTACCAAGACTGCCGCAGAGAGTTGGCTCAATTCCAACATTCCATTGTCAGGTATGTCACCTTGGAGCCAGTTCCGCTCCGAGGAAACCCTGCTTGCCTCCCCCAAGGAGGATAATCTCTAATTGGTTGTTTGACATCCACTAGGTAGATGGTAGGTATTCCTTGTGAGCTTCCAGGTGGGCAACGCATCTCAGCATGAAATGGGTGATAGCCTTGCCCCCGTCTTCCTGTCTACAGCTCGGGCACATGCCCCTTCCCAACGGATAGCCCATTGGACTTCTGGTAAAAAAAAAAATCCCTCCCTCATCCAAATTCATAGATGATGGAACTAAATGAGTGCTGGGTATGCCTAGAAAACAGCACCAACTGCACTTGATAGTAACTCTTTCTTATGACCTTGGAGATGACTCAAGATATAAAGCGTCATATTGAATGCAACTGTTATTTAGTACTCAGTAAATCTTCTGACTACCTTCTCTGCAAGCTCTTCTGGCTGATATCCTAAAAGCTCCAGGTATTTATGGCGAGAATCCTTCTCAAAATTGACCTGCGAATAGAGTTAGAAAAAAGTAATTCAATATAAATCCATAGTTTGACATCCGAGACATTGAAATAGCTGCAACATATTGATTTTTGATTAGAGCTCGAAACAATACTGAAGCTAGTTACAGATTTTCTGAAACAGGAAAATATTTAACAGCGGCCCAAAACACTCGCTTTTCCCTTTCTGCCTCTCCCTCCACCGAAGGTGCTAACTCTTGCTGGATGTGGTTCACAGCAATGTGTCCTCCCTAGTTCATTACCTGATTGCATGCTCTTCATGTCTGACAGCGAATGGCAACAGGGCCTGAGCTACGAGCAGATTCACATCCGAGTCCTAACTGGTCCTCCCAACATTCACCCATCCAGGGCGAGAAATGCCACCCAAGCCTGGGCTTCCACTATATTCTTACCATTCCAGAGCAACATGTGCAGCATTTGACCAATTATTAAATTCAGTTAATTTTTAAGCTGGTTTTGAATTAAGACTGAATTGAAGAATTTATCAAATTCTGCAAGCTCTATGTAGTCTAGACCCGGGTGCAATTTTNCCCCCCGCACTTTTCAATAGAGAGGACTGATTATCCTTTTGGAAAGGGGCCAAACATCATGCTCTGAAGTTATTGTTTCGTCCTCACCTTCAGAAAGCCCCACATGTTCCTCTCAAAGTCGGTCTGGGCATTGTCCACCTTCAACTGGCAGAATGCCACAAAGTCTCCCGAATGGACTGTCGACTGCAGTTGGTTGGAACGGCTCAGGAGCTCGGTTTCCGTGACCACCTGACTGACAAGTACCTGGAATGGGCCAGCCTGTTGCTGGTGCTGGGGCTTCATGTTTTCAAAGGTCACCAGCTTCCCTCCAAACTTCACAAGGCAACAGCAAACAAAGCAACACAACAAAAAGAGGAAAGAGTTAAGTCGCGCACAATTCAAAGCAACGGCATAACACAAACTGACATCGCACTCATGTCCAAACTCATTTCAATGCTACAAGCAGCAGTTAATCAAAGAAACCTACTGCGCACCAGCCTACCATCCTACCAGACCACACACCATTCAACCTAAATGCAGACAGACATGGCTTAATGTACACTGTGGGTAATCAGAGTCAAGCAAGTCATCAGAGGGACTTCCATCCATCACTATTACACACTATCCAGAAGGTTAGAGATTAGAATCAACTAACTCCGTCTGTGCTTAGTTACCTGATCTTAGGTGGGGTGCTCAGCTAGGGCAACACCCCTGGGACCCTGAAATTTATCATGGTTTTAGGCTTAAGAACATTGCCTTAAAAACTAGGTAGTCTAGAATCTTGAATAATTCTTGAAATCAGTCTGAACTTGGATAACATTTTTCACAGTACTTTTTAGGTTTGCAAATTCAGACCGAGTTTAAGAATTTTACAAAATTCTGCTCAAAAAAATTTAAACAGTGAGTTTACGCAAAGACCATAAGAAAGTGTGGATCTCTAATCACTAACTGGGATCCCCCGATGGAAATTATGTGCAAGTGGACAGGATGTAGCTCAGCTGTGTCCCTCCATTCAATTGAATGGCCTGACAACTGTCACTGTCAAGGTTCATTTAGCAACAACACCGCTCCGAAAATAGATAATTATGCTGTCTAAAGCTGCTGCGTAGCAGACCATAATATTAGTCCTATAATTCTTGCATTTTGATATATATATTTTGTGTTGGGAGGATGTCTCAAAGTGCTTCACAGGATATACTGTGAAGTGTAGTGACTCTGTATTTTGCAGGTGAATCCAGCAGCTAATATGCACATACCCACAGCACTACAATGGATTGTCAGCCTAGACTATATGGTTTCCAAGTCCCAACATGGGGCTTGAACCCACAACTTCTGACTCCGAATCAACAGTGATACCAACTGAGCCAGGCTGACACATGCTTACACTAATATGCTGCTTACACTACAGGGCACATTAAATATGGCTGAAAAAGCTGAGCCTGGAGCTTACTGGCACTAGGATCTTACATTTACATTCCAGGGCAGAATCCAAAACACTGGCACCAACAGGGATACAACTGCACATATGGTAATTCAGCCTTTTCTGTGCACACACCTTCCTTGATCTCCAGGGAAGTGTGCCACACCCTAGCCTGCAAGGCTTGGGGGGAGGGGGGGGAGGGCGGGCAGATTCATTCCTTCTCTTATTCCCTCCCCATGCCACTCCCATTTCATCTCCTGTTCCAGGGTAGATTGTACAAAGTGCAATACTTACAGCAAACGTGGCTCCCACAGGACGCCGGACCCACTTGGGTGGTTTCTTCAGAGGCAACACAGCACTCGGCTGGGCTGTGGTTTGAGGTAGCTGTAAGGGAGGAAGAGCCTGTCCAGTGCCAAAAGGGTCCAGGTTCCCAAATGAGGAGGAAATCTGTCAAGAAGAGGAGGTACAGCATTGGTTGTCATGGTGCCAGAGAGCAACATTTCAATGCAAATACGCATTGCTGTTGCTCCAAAGAAGCAACAGTATGCCACTCACACTAAAACCACGGCTTCAATAAGCTTAAGCAAAAGCAACAACTTGCTCTTATATAAGACGTGTCATGTAGAATGAGCATCTGAAAAACATTTCATGATGATGACAGGAATCAACAAACAAGGAGGAAGGAGAGATGAATTTGAGAGCAATGACCTGGGCCAATAGAAAAGTGAGGCCGCAATTTCCCCTCAGAATCCGCTAAAACAGACACTTCCTGCAAAAACTCTGTAAACATGCCGTGTGTCTGGCCCCGGGGCCTCTTCGTACCAATTCCAGCTATTTGCTCGATGACCTCGGTGTCTCTACTGTGGGCAGAGCAGCTCCAGATACACAGGTGTGGCGCGGGTAGGGAGGGGGGAGCAGGATGGTGGTAGCGACCCGGATGGTCTGTGTGCTCTTTGGGCCTGCCCCCCCCCACCACCCCCCAAATGGGCCACACTTTTTTTGTTAAAGAATGCATTTAATAACTTTCTTTGCAACAATTCATGTGTTTTTTTTCATGTTTAGTTTTTATCAATAAAGTTAAAAAAATCTAGGTTGGCAGTAAAAATGTGACTCAATAGCACCAATTTCCACAGAATGTGTCAAATTTCCCCACAATTTTGGCAAATATTTCCATAATTTACTATTGGCCCTGGGGATGACTAAAAGCACAAAGAGATAGCAGGGAGTGAAGGCATCATATGAATGGGCTCTCTCACACACACACCCCTATACATCTACACATACTCATGTACACATACACAAACCACCATCTTTGAGAAGCGTCACTTACGCTGTCAGCCTGCCTCTGCCTCTGCTCATCCACATTCCCGCCCATGAGGGAGTAGATGCTGATGCGGCCATCGAAGGCTGCAGCAGAGAGGACAGCCGGGTTCCTGGGACACCATTGAATATCAAAACACCACTGAGTAGCTGTAGGGAGCTCATACACAACCTGGGCAGGGACAAGGAGGAAACATAATGAATTATGATGGATAACACCTGGTAATAATTCAGTCATCTTGCTCCTACCCAATACACCATCCAACCTTCAATTATTTACAGAGCTGTTCAGTAGGCCCTGCACTTACAGTATGCGGTCACCCACTGCACACAACCAATATGGGGAGAATGTAGCAGAGGTTCATCCTCTTGTTTCTTCATCCCCTTCAAACAGCAGCTGAAATGCTCTTACAATGGAAAGTGCAATCCCCAGTGACAAACTAAGCCAGAGTCACAGGAAGGTTCCATGTACTTAACCTTGTATTGAGTTACTTACTCTCAGTCTGAGCAACAATAGAATCACAAAGATTGGCCTCAGTGTACCTGGGCTGTGAGGGAAGGGGCGAGACTATTAGCTCAGGGTCCTATTCCTGATTGTTATCCAGATGAGGGCATGATCAGGCTTAGTTGTGACAGCGCAGGCAAATAGCCTCTGGCGCTGTTAATTACATAATTTAGGAGACCTACAATTCTCATTGTACATGAGTTCACACACAGCTTTCACAACCTCCAGAATGGCTTACATAACTCAGATAACAGATCCCAATGGCTAAACAGCTTCACACATGAATGGTCACTTTGGCCAAGAAATCAGGCCATATGGCAACTGTGGAACCATACTCCATCAAGTCAACATCTTCACCACAGGATGAGGAGAAAACTGGGAGAATTTATGTTTGTGATTTTTTTAAAAAACTCATATCGCAGTATCAGCTAAAAACAAAATCAGTAAAATTCAGGCAATTTCCACAAGCCCATCAACAGAGTAGACAGCAAATGGATGGACAGAAGTAAAATACTATGTGTTACTGAAGAAAGTTAAAGATTTATGACCCAGTCATAAAGTGAGTGAAAGCGCTGAGTGTCACAGTGCAGAGGCCATAGTGGTATTTTGTATCCCACTCTCTGCTTACCTCTCCAGACATAGGGAATTTTCCATTCCACACACTCAGAAACTCTGGTTTAGACACTCGTAAGCACAGTGATGGCTTTCCACATGTGATAGATACCAGGGACCAAATAACAAAAGCTTACCTCTCCAGTGTTGGGGTTCCAGCACAGAATCCGGTTGTCTTTGCCACAACTGAGGAGTAGCTCCGAGTCTGCCAGACTCCAGGCAATGGCTAAGATTCCTCTGTAAAACACATCAGGATTTACATCAGCCACAATGGAATGCTCTCCCTTTACTCTTTTGGAATTATTAAAGAGGGCAAAGGGGCCCAAAATTTTCAATGGCTTAAATCCATTTTCTTAAAAAAGGTCAAACAAAAATACAGTATCTTAAAATTAGTGTCAACTTGGAAGCAGTTTGTCTGCAGTACCACTAATGGACCACGGGAAAAAAATCCTGCAAATAAAAACTGAATTCAAGACTGCTTTCCAAAATTCTACATACTCATAAATGTTAAGATAACGATTATACGCCTGAGAGCATGAGACTGTCTGGGCTCCTGAATTAATAATTTGTTGTTCTCTTTGCAAAATGACTCACTCACCAACTAAGCCAGTGAACACAAAATAAATTATTGTTTAATAAAATTAGCATTTCACTGAGTGAGCTACACCAGAGAACAAATCAAGTTAGATCTGAGGTGCTCTAAAGCAAGGCGGATTGTACCTGGTGTGGTTTTCCAGCACTCGAAGAGGAGAGGTTGCAAACCTCAGATCCCACATTTGTATCACAGGCATTCGGTCATCCTCAGAGGCCACAGCCATCTGTGTGGCAACATCAGGGTGCCAGGCCAGTCCTGAACAGTGCATCTGCCAGGGAGAGCAAAGCATTTTAATAGTAGGCACACAGGCGTGCACACTTACAGGTGTACGCATGCATGTGAATACAAACAGACACACACACACTATAAAGCACAATTGGGGTCTTTGACCTTTTGTGTGCAATGTATACTTTTCACTACCTCTTTAAGAATGTTCTTATAGGTTAACTTGTATATCCCAGAGAATTGAAAATCTTCATGGTGAAGACCTTAAGACTGATGTCTTCAAATTGAAGATCATGTGGAAATTTTGGGAAATATTCTTCAATTAATATGAATGCCACTTTTCAACAGTTCTTTTTTGGGGGTGTCGTTTCCAAATTAAAATTGAATTTTAAGAATATTCCAAAATTCTGCACCATCTTATATTTTATAACACTGGTCCTAAGGCTGAGATTGGCAGAAATTTGAAGCTTCTGGTTTCTACTAATTGAACCGCACAGTCCTAAACAACTGATACTGACTGGCATATTACTCTGGTGTTACTCCGGTTTTATGGTTCACCTCACCCAATATTCAATCCATATTGAACACGATTAATCCAGGCAAACACCATCCAGGATGTGCCACAATGCCTCTACTGAGCTCAATGAGGCTGGACCAGATTCATCACAGCTGCCGTGCTTCCTGGGATCAACTATATGAATGCAAGTTGTTGTTGTGCTACTTACTCGGTTGCTGTGGTCGCTGACTTTCAGGATTGGTTCATTCTTCCTCAGATCCCAAACAACGGCGCGACCACTGGGATTAGCTGAGGCCAGGATGTGCTGGACCTGTCTATTCCAGGCCACACAGCTGATGTCCTCAGGAGGCTTAGGAATGTAAAGATAATAATTAGGAAACATGTGCACATCAGATTGTCTACACTGAGTACTGACTCCTTTCAGGATAACACTTTACTTAATGAAAATCCAGTAAATCTAAAATATTATTCCAGTGACACTATTTGGGAGATATATTGGCTTTTTGCAGAGCATTCAGTGATAATTCACTTGATTGAAACCTAGAACGAATGGGTGAATAAACTAGGGTTGCATTTGCTGGATATGAGGAGGACACGATCTCTCCTGTTTGGCTCAGGCACTGCAGCATCAACCTGCATGGATGCACACTCCACCTCATGGAGCTGGTGCAGAACCTCAGCGTCTTGTTCGATTCACATCTCTCCTTTAAACCCCACATCCACGCTCTGACCCACTTAGCTTTCCCCTAACCCTAACATTGCCCGCCTCTGCCACTACCTCTTCCCTCGGGCCGCTGAGACCCAAATCCATGCATTTACCTGTCCAGACTTGACTACGCCAATTCTCTGCTCACTGGACTACCCAACACTTCCCTACAAAAGCTGCAGTCTATCTAGAACTCTGCAGCCAGTTTCCTTTCCTGCACCAAGCTCCGCAAGCCGATCACCCCCATCCTTGCCCGGCTCTATTGGCTCCCAATCCCCCAGTGGATCAAGTTCAAGATTCTCATCCTAACCTACAAATCCCTCCAGGGCCTTGGCACACCCTGACCTCCTCAAACCTAATCAACACAGCCACTCCCTTTGCTCAGCATGCACCGGACTCCTTCATGTCCCCCGCTCTACTCCCTCTACCGTTGGTGTCGGTCTTTCAGCCTATTTGCCCCCATTCTCTCGAACTGCATCCCGCAGTACCTCCAAATCACCCCCTCCATCACCTCTTTCAACTTCAGTCAAGACTTCCCTCTTTGATCGAGCCAGTCCTCTTTCCCTTCCCCACCTTGCTTGGCTGCCTTCCCCAGCTCATTTTGACAAAGAGATTTCTTTGTAATTTAGACAGCATGAAAAGTAGGGCAATACATTAAATAGGAATAAATAGGGCACCAAATCTGTTCAATTTCATACATTCCAGTTCTTGGTAGCCTTTCAGAAAAAAATAAAAGTAATAAAAATGTAAATCGTCCTCCAAATAAAAGTGGCCGTTGACTTCATGGCTGTTTGTGGGACATTCTAATGTGCAAATTGGCTGTAGCATTTCAATTAAAAATAAAGGCACTTTACAGTAAATCCTGTGAAACAATTTGAGACATCGTACTGATGTGAAAGCAGTTATATCAAGGGTGAGGATTATTTTTAAAAATAAGGAGAAAACATGTTGTAGAGTAAACTTAAAAGAAAACTTAAAAGATTTGGAGGTACTTCCGGACAAGGTCTATTTAGTATCAGATTCTTTTTTTACGCCAGGTCCAACAGCAAAGCACTCTTCTTAATTTTATGAGCAATAATGGAAATTGAATATAGCTTCAATCTGCAAATGTAACTTAGGAAGGGAAGGCAGTAATAGATCTCAATAGAGTCAGGAGTGAATAAGAGACTGAAATTGCCCTACAGCAAGAGAGAAATTCCCTTGGTGAAACTGACCTGCTCTCAAATCAAATAACATTAAAATCACTCCGGAATGATTCATAAAATTCCCTTCTTCATACAACAAAGTTTGCTTTTTATTTTGAGCAGGGATAGTTTAGAACATGATTTTTAGATAGCTTTCGCCAATATATCAGTGAGTACTGTAGAATTATAAGAGCCCCCTTGTAAGGTGAGTTTGCTGATAAGCTAGTCCTGTAGACATGTTTATCTTATTCACTCAGACTGGCTGGTTTCATATGCTAAAAATGACCGACTTCCAGGTGATTATGTCCCCACCGACCTCACTTCCTGCATGCTGCACACATACAATAGGTCCAGGAAGTATCTTGCAAAGAACATACGCGCAACATGCAAGAAATTATGTCAGCAGCAAACGAGCAAACTGAAAGGTGGACTTTTTTTTTTAGCATGAGAAGCTGGCAAGTAGGCACAGAGCACAGAAAGTGACAGCAGGGGTGACCATTTTTCAGGAAGGAAATAACATCAGCCACGCGAAGTTTACAGGAAGTGTAGCAGCCATTTTGGCTCTCTTTCCCGTTGTAAAGTTATATTTGGCCTTATGGGTCCAAAACAGTGTGTTATAATGGGGTTCTTCTGTAATTGACCAACCAGTGTAGACCCTAAAGCCATACAGAGCAGAATTCAGACTGTGCTGAATCGGCTATGGTAAATGGGCAATGGTGGGGAGGACCCTCTGGCTTCTGCAAGGAGGGATTCATCATTTGTCAAAAGAAGTCCCTAGTAGAGACAATTCAAGTGAAATGTGGACAATTGTTTGTCAAACTGTTTCTATCCTAAGCTCTCTGATGACATGGGAACTCAGAAGAAGAGGAAGTCAGGAAGATTAATAATGGCTGCACTTAATATACTTGGGCTGAAGTGGCTTAGCTCCGCTGAGAAGCTGGGGTTCTATCCCTGAGAACGGAGTAGGTTAAGGGGTGATTTGTTTGACATATTTAAATTAATGACAGGAATTATCAGGTTAGATAGTAGTTGACTCTTCCCTTTAGTTCATGGACCCATTAAAAGCTGTAAAATGATAACTAAGGAGGTTAGAACTGAGGCCAAGAAGCATTTCTTTGTGGGTTGTGAAGATGTGGAATGCTCTGCCCCAAAAATCTAACATTACCAATAAGTATATTTAAGCAAGAGACAGTTAGATATTAAAGAGTATGGAGAAAGGGCGGCATTAGGATTAAAAAGATCTACTAAAATGTAATAAACTGATGGAACAGGCTCGATGGGCTGACTGGCCCTGCTCCTGTTTTCCTATGTTCCTATATATATATGTCTGTCTGGTACCTCAGAGAAGAACAAGTCAGCAAGGCAAAAACCTCACGAGCCGGACAACAATCCCGTTAATTTCTGCATTTTCAGTCACGATAGGCGTAACTGGGCAAGTACACCTCAAATCTATTAAACTTGAGGTACACAGGACGGTGTGGCTTTGAAAAAGATTTATCACCACCAGGGAGTTTCCATTTCAATTCTGGCCCCGAGTGAGGAATTGTTCGGTCGCAGCTATTTCCACCACCAGTAACGCGTATGACAAGAGCTCCCTCCGGTGGCCGAGCAGCACCAATGTACTGAGCCATGAAGACCAGAAGATATGATCCCCGATCTGTTCGAAGGTGGGAACACTACTATTGTCCTCAGCATCCTCAGGTTAGGGTGGCACGGGTGTTGGGGGGGGGGGGGGGAAAGAACGATAGTGGGAGAAAAAATTGCCAGAGTTCCTGCTTCTGACCTCTGCTGTAAACACCAGCTGAGAACAGTGTCATGAGTTCAGATGAGTGGTCATGTCAAGTGGATTGTCATTATTTATTTTTATTGTGAGGTGAGGACACAATCAGCTACTTCATGATGACAACCTAACCTTGGTTGTATATGCAAACATTTGCTGACTCACAGAAACAACTTTGGCTAGGGTTGATCACACAATCCCTCTACAGCAGCATAAGCCACTGACTGCCTTCAAGAGAGGGACCCTACCCCCAAGACAAGTGAGAAAGTAGATGAAATATAACAAGATGTTAATAGGGAGCACATACCTGGGATTTGGATCCGGGGGTCATTGGAGTTTTAAAGTTGTTCAAATCCCAAATGTAGATTTCCGACTCATTGGCTCCTGAAGCTACAAGATTGCTCTGGACAACAAAAAACATTAATTGTTTATGAAACCCTGAGGAAAATGCAACCTCACAGAGAAACCAAAACATCTAATCAATTAAACAGCTATTTTGTTATAATTTCCTTGTTGAAGAGGGTATGTTCCCCCTCTAACCTTTAGCCTCAAAGTGCCATTTACAAATAAAAGTATCACAAATGCAACCCAGGCTGTAAATAACATTACTGCAAAAAGACTCTATTGTTAGGTAAACTCTGTGGAACTTCCTGCAACTGCATAACAACATTAAATTGAAATGTAAGAGCAACAAATATTAAGGGGGAAATTCCCCTCTCTGTTGAAGTTAGGGACACTGACAATGGGGTCTATTAAGTGCCTGGTGTAAACCATATGAACAATCATGTGTACAGAGAAACTACAGGTACCATTAATCATGTAGTTAATAACCAATGAAAATGATTGATTGTGAATTAAATAATTGGATACCTGGAAGTTTACACACTGTTTACACAAAGCACATGATACACCTGTATTTACATACAGTTTATATGTGGTACTTAAGAGAGCCTACTATTCACTAACAATGGCCTTTAGCCCAGTTAGTGGATAATGTCAAACTTGATACACCGGCTCATGAGGAATGTCATGCCCATGCCTTCTGGGAGGGGAAAAGGCATTGTTAGTTATAACCATTGGAACCAGATCTCCCCGTGTATAGAGCACTAATATAAACTGCAGGATTGCGTGATCCCACAATGCCAATATTTAATGGAAGCTGAGATCAGGGCATAATATCTGATATTGGCAAAGATATTGGAATTGACATGCTAATTGAATATTAAAAGCCATGTGTTTGCAATAGTCTCAAAACAACCCATTATGATTTCCAAAAGTCGGTAAAGTGTGAAAATAAAAAGGCTAAAGGGCAAAATAGCTCTTCCAAAAAGCATCTAACAAAATAATTTTTCTTGATTGAATAATGAATGTTAAATCCAGAGATAAATCAGGAAAAAACTGAAAACAGACTAACATGCAAACATGGACTTACCTATGACCACAGGTTGGCCACCTGTTGCTTGAACATGCCATTTTATAAGTGATTAATTGGACAATTTACCTGAAAAGGATTGAAGTCCAGTGCTCGAACTGGACCAGTGTGCTTATCAATCTGCCCAATCACAACGTCCTCCTCTCCCGCTATGATTTTGGAGGGATTGTACAGGATGATGTTCCCATTTTCACCACCAGCAACGAGGACCCCAGATGTCAGCCCATCATCTTCATTTCCATGACCACCCCAAATCAGCTTATGGTACCTGGGCAATAATTTGATTGATAAATAAATCATAGTCATAGAATGTTACAGCGCAGAAACAGGCCCTTCGGCTCATCAAGTCTGCTGGTGTTTTTCTCCACATCAGACATTTTAATCCCACTCGCCTGCTCGGTCCCTATACCCCTTAACATTTTTTGTTCTTTAAGCATTGATCGAATTCCCTTTTAAAATAATTTATGGATTTGGCCCAGCGAGAAAACATCTCTGCCAGAAAACCTAGGAAAACCATACGGTCCATTCTTTAGTGTGTGGGGAAGGGGGGTTGTTTGGTAGAATGGATTACCTGAAACCCCTTTCTCCAAGTAGCTGAGAAACCTGAAAGAACACTGGAAAGTATATTTTATAAGACCCTCTACCAAAAAACTCTACTTAACATTTTTTTAAATTTACCTGTGTGCAGAAGAAAATGTGCCACATGATTTCATGTCAAGTGTGGAGTCAGCCAAATCCAGCTCAAAGATCTCCAGGGAAGCATTTGTGCTGAATGTTGCATCCAGCTGCTGAGCCGAGGTACCTGTGTGTATAACAAAACTGCATTTACATCAGATCTTTCACATAAATGAGCATCTCACAGTATGGGGGCAAGAAGGCTGAAGAGTCAATCACTGAAGGTGCAGTGGAGAGTGGGGAGCAAGAAACAGACCAGACCATTGGAGTAAGTGCATTGTGTCTGCAGAAGAATACATGGTATAGCTGGGTAAGAGCAATTTAAGGGACAACAATCATAAAACTAATCTTCTGAATTAATGAGAGTCAATAGTGGCTGGTGAGGATGGAGTAATGGGTGTTCATAGCCTGTGAGGGAGAGAAATTGAACTGCATAATTATAATCCATGCATTTTCACATTTTATGTTGATTTTCACATGATTTCAGTGAAAAGTGTAATTATTGTGCATCTGTAGGTGAACAATATACATAAATTTACGCAGGCAGTCATAAAGTGAATGACTAACTTTTTTAATCTGCAGAATTGTTAGCCAGAACACTGAGAGAAACTTCATTCTCTTTTCACATAGTGCCATGGGATCTTTATCTTTCAACTGAGTAGACCTCGAATTAACATCTCATCCAAATGACGGCATCTAGAACAATGCAACACACCCCCAGCACTGCATCAGAGTGTCAACCCAGATTACATCAGTTCAAAGTCCTGATATGGGGCTTGAACCCACAACCTTCTGACTCGAAGGCAAGAACACTATTAAGTGATACTGCTGACTAGGTGACAATTCTAGATCAGCCGGAACTTCTGGGGAGTAGAGCTGTGAGTCTATTAAACAGACACTTTAAAGCTGCAAACCGTTTCACAGCGATCCTCTGAACACCAAACATTCATTGTCACCACGCTACTGAGGTAATGATTAGCTACTGCTAGTTGGATATTGACCAAACTGGTATTTGCTGAACAAATATTGCCCACTGACTACAAAATTTCCCTGTAAATGATTTTGAGGTACACCTGTCTTAGTAGCATCTCACTCAAAATTTGTCACGTTGAGCAACACCATGCTTCACCAGCTGTTAGCACAATGAACCCACAATGAATAAAGGCCCAACACAAAATAAGTGCGTCAAAGAGAAGCAGAGACGTCCGAGAGACTGTAAGGCAGCAATCAACTATCAGAGTTTATAGCTATTTTTGCAGAGATAAGACAAAGATGGTTATAGAACTCTCAGACATTAGATAGTAATAGTTAGTTACTCTTGTAATATCAGAGAAAGTCTGAATTATGAGAGTAAGCCAAACAGTACTTTCATTGGCAAGCTATGCAGGTTTGGGTGATTAAACTCCAGCAGTACCCCAACACACACTCTGGGATCCCCAAACCTGGCTCTTGTCAAGAACATAAGAACATAAGAATAAGGAGCAGGAATAGGCCATTCGGCCCCTCGAGCCTGCCCCGCCATTCAATAAGATCATGGCTGATCTATTCTAACTCCACCTACCCGCCTTATCCCCATATCCCTTAATCTCTTTATCTACAAGAAATTTATCAATCTCAGTCTTGAATATGTTCAAGGACTGAGCATCTACATCCCTTTGGGGTAGAGAATTCCATAAATTCACTACCCTCTGAGTGAAGAAGTTTTTCCTCATCTCAGTGCGAAAGGGCTTACCCCTAATTTTAAGACTGTGACCCCTGGTTATAGTTTCTCCAACCAGGGGAAAAGTCTCCCACTATCTATTCTGTCGTGCCCCTTAATAATCTTATAGGTTTCTATAAGATCACCTCTCAGTCTTCTATATTCTAAAGAATATAGGCCTAAATTGCTCAACCTATCCTCATAACTCATCCCCCTCATCCCAGGTACCAACCTAGTGAATCTACATTGTACCCTCTCCAAGGCGAGTACATCCTTTCTTAAATAAGAAGACCGAAACTGCACACAATACTCTAGGTGCGGTCTCACGGGGCCCTATACAGTTGCAGCAAGACTTCCCTACTCTTATATTCTAACCCTTTTGTAACAAATGCCAATATACCGTTAGCCTTCCTAATTACTTGCTGTACCTGCAAACTAACTTTTTGTGACTGGTGTACAAGGACACCCAAGTCCCTCTGAATGCTAACACTATCTAGTTTCTCCCGTTCTAAAAAATAATCTGCTGTACTGTTTTTGCCTCCTCGGTGGATGACCTCACACTTCCCTACATTATACTTCATCTGCCACCTATTTGCCCACTCACCTAGCCTATATCTCGTTGTATTTTTTTTAATGTCATTCTCGGTATTTACTCTCCCTTCTAGTTTAGTGAATTTGGATATATTAAGTTCGATGTCCTCATCTAGATCGTTGGTGTAGATAACCTGCACCTCATAGTTTCCAGAATTAGGTAACAAGGGTATGTTCCTCCAACGATAGGGTGTACAGTCTATATACAGGGAAATTTTCATGAATAGGTGTTTCACCTCATTTCCCCCACAAAACACACAGTCACTGTACATTGCAGGATGTGCTGTGACTCTGTGTTTTGTATGGGAAATGAGGCACTTTCAAGGACATATCCAATTCCATTTTGAAAGTTATTATTCAATCTGCTTTCACCACCATTTCAGGCAGTGCATTCCAGATTGTACCCACTCTCTGTGTAAAAAAAATTCCTCATGAGCACTGTCGCAGTTCTGTTTTGCTTTAAGACTTACAGGGGGTACAAGCATCAGCTGATTACAACACTGGGAAAAACAGAGCAAAATTATAATACTTGTCTAATGGAGGAGGAGAGAAGTTCCAGCATTCTGAAAGGTATTCCCAAATATTTCTAAAACTCTTAGATTCTTTTCAAGAACTGTGTGAAAGCAGTTACCAAATTTAGACTAAATTGAAAGAATTTCCTAAATTCGGCACCATCTTAAACTTTAGGGCAACAGTTTTCAGGCCAAGACCACGAGAAATGTTGGACCTCTGACATCCACACAGAATGCATTGTCCAGCAGATGACCAGATATTGATTAGGAGTAGAAAGTCTGGTTGATTATTTTCCCACTTTTTCCCACTTCTTTAGTCCAAGATATATGAGTGTGTGAATGCCCACATTACTGTCCAGGCCAACCCATTCTTGTGAAACTATATTGTCGAAGGGGGGGGGGTGGGGCAAGAGAGGGGAAGGGTTACGTAAACCTTTTTTACATATTGCACAATGTGAGACTTCTCAAAAGGGATCGATTTTTCTAGATTATTATTGAATACAAGCTAGAGATCTCTTACCTGCCGCCAGGTAAATTGGGTGCTGCTTGGCAGGGCTCCAGGCCTGGATAGCGGTCCGATTGATTTCTTTAAGCTTCATCTTAGCTGGGCTGGGAATAGAACGAGAGATATTTTTAAAAAGTACACAATATTACTGCTAACCAGCATGAAGAGGATGAGAACAGCAAACCCCAGCTGTGACCATAAATAGTAACATGCATCTAGCAGCACAAAATGCATAGAACTAATATCTTCCAAATGAATCTTTTCAGTCACAAGGTAACTGCAACAGACATACAACTACAGTTGTTCATTACAAGTACAGAGCACGAGTCTTGCAGTAAAATAAATTCAAAATCTTTACTTGTGATACTTTAGGATAAGACCTTAAAATGTCCTGGTTCTGAGTTTTCTTAGTTACCATTTTACCTTCTGCTCAGTAAATTCAGAGCAGTCAATCTGGTCCCTCCTTACGGTTTATCAGCTTGGGAAACCCTCAAACGCATAAATAAACCACAGGAAAACAGCAGTGTAAACATAATCTGTGGTCTCCAAGGTTCCCTTTAGCCACTTTCAAATCAGATAAAGAAACAAAACCTCTTACACAGATCCCAAAATTTATTTTTTTAATATTTATAGAGCCATTTGTTCAGAGACTTCAAGAGAAAATCAACAGTAGAAATATTAAGGAAATACAAGAAGGGGGCAAATCAAAGGATGGAGATGGGTCAGGTTAAAAACAGGCGTAGAAAATGGAACTCAGAACATCGATGGAGAAAGTTCAGAACAGAATTTGCTGAGTGGCTCAAATGAAGATATGCTTCTGAATAAAGATGACATCTCCAACACAGGCCCACCCTTCCTTCACTTCCCCCTCCCAATATTTCTAGAGTTGTTTTCCAGATTCTGTACATGGCTCCTGTTTTGTAAATATTTTAAAACTTGCTCTGTGAACAATTCAGCCTTGCAGTAAGGTGATGGAGATTAAAGAGACATATGGTTAAAGGGATGACTAATATTGGGCACGACAAAGTGAAGCATTTAAAAGTATAATGTAGGATAATTCAAATAAATTATTCACAGGTTTATTTAGGGATTTAATTGCAACAACTTGCATATTATAGTGCCCTTCACATAGAATGACTTGTTGTGTGCTTTACAAAGATGGAGTCAGATGACTACCCGGTGGGTAGTGGGGAGGGGCACAGGCACAGTCGAAGAGGTAGACTTTAACGTGTGACTTATAAAGACAGGTGGAGAGGTGGAAAAAGGGAGGGAATTCTAGAAGATAAGAGGTGTCAAATCTGAAGGTTCAGCTACCAATAATAGTGTGGAGGGCACAGGGGATGTGCAGTAAGCCCAAGATAGCCATGTGAAGAGGGCAAGTAAAGGAGTGAGATAGAAGGTCAGAGAGATAATGAAGTGCTAGGCTGTAAAGTTTATAGGAGAGGGGATGAATGATAAGGCGAAGAGACAGGGAGGCAGTGGAGCCTAGCGAGGCCTGCGTAACGGGCATTCGGAGTCTGGTATGGCTAAGGATATGGCGGTAGAGTTTAAGAAGTTTGAGCGTATAGATGGTGCAGCGAGGGAGACCAGTAAGACTACATTTGTAAAGTCCAGGCAGGATGTTACAAAGGTGAGGATAAGGGTTTTGTCAGCTTTTGGTGAGAGGTACAGGCAGAGGCGGGCGATGTGGTGGTGGAGATGAAGAAAAGTAGTCTTGATCAGGGATCAGAGGTGAGGGAGAAAGGAGAGCTGAGGTTCAAAGCAGATGTTAAGGTTGTGCACTGGTACGAGGTTGAGGAGATCAGAGCCAAAAGTGAGGAGAGCCAAGGTGGATAGCTTTCCTTATGCATATTGAGTTGCAAAAAGCTGCAGCTCATCCAGACCTTGATGTCTGATAGGCAAGCGGGCAGTGTACCTGGAATCAAGAGTGGAAGTGAAAAACTAAATTTCGGTTTCATCCGCATACCTGTGGTCGACAAGGAAAAGGAGGGGGACCGAGGCTAGAGCCCCAGGCACTCCACAGGCGACTGTGTGAGGGTGGAGGAGAAACAGAAGAGACAAAGGAGATGGCGGGCCAGGTAGAACTGGAACGTAAAAAGAATCAGCCCGGTGCCACCTACTCACCCAATAGAGAAACAATCTCCCAGATATATCCAGAAATAGAAATAATTATGCACAGCTATTGAAGTTGAATGGGAACACCACCAGTTGTATGGTTAAGGCAGCTTTTATAGTAAGTTAGGGTTTCAAATAAATTATACTAAAATAGACAGGCGGGGGCCCCCATAGTGGAGTGGTTAGAGCTGCATCTTATAGACGCTGATTTGAATTCTGGACTGCGGTCGGTTTGCTGGTCTCAGCCATAGCTGTATGAGGAGGATAAATTGGCCATGGCTCTCTTGGATGAGGGGGGTTAAAATCTGCCAGGTTTCCTGTTCCTGGTTCCTCTTCAGCATCCTCTACTAACAGTGCAGCTGGAGGAGGAGAGTCAAGGAGCTTCGACAATCTCAAGGCTCGTACATGAACAATGGTGACTTTGGCAGGATATCAAAGGCAACCAGCCCAACTGAGCCCACCCACCCAGTCAGAGGAGCCTGGATACCAGGAGCAGCGGCACATGCCAATGCTGAGAACATTAGAAAAACATAACACTACATTTAAATACAAAAAAGACTAATTACCATCTTATTCTATGTAATCAAGCAATAAGGTCAAATCAAGGATGGGCAAGAAAAGCTACATCCTAGAGCAGCAAGGACATCTTTGTGAGACGTTTGTACAAATAGTTCAGTGAAATCTGCATATTATTGAAGAAAACAAACATTAGGAGCATGTGCAACAAACCATTGTAGCCTTTATTTTGAAAGCAAGTTTTATAACAACAACAAGATTACATTTGTATAGTGCCTTTCACGTCGGGAGGACGTCCCAAGGCGCTGGACAGTGTACAGTATTTCAGACCCGAGCTGGGGTCAGGGCGGGGGGTGACCAATGACATGGTTGAAGAGGAGGGTTTTGAGGCGGGACATGAAGGAGGGTGAGGAGGGGGTGAGGCGGAGATGGAGTTCCAGAGGTTGGGGGCAGAGCGGATGAAGGCTCTCCCGCCAATGGTGGGGCGGGTGGGTCGGGGGACGTGAAGCAGACCAGAGCCGGCTGAGTGGAGAGAGTGGGCGGTTGTTAGGGAGTTAGGAGGTCGCAGTGGCAGGGTGGGGAGTTTGAGTTACACCATTAAAACAAACAGAAAAACAGCTTTAGGGTCAAATATTTTCCACAAAGTGACAAGCACAAATTAAATTATTTTACTGTAGGGCGTTTCAATCTATCAGACATTGCATAATTTTTCAGCCTGAATAAAGTCCATAGAGATTACAACACAGGAGACATTTGCTCCACTGAACATTGCATCTCCCTGACCTAATTCCCTGCTCTTTTCTCTGTGCCCTTTTATATGGTTTCTCTACAAATACTTATTTAGTTTGCTACAATTAGCACTACACTTTGCAGGAACATTTTTGAGGCACCTTGAGACATCTTGATGATGTGATAAGGCGCTATATCAAATGCAAGGATAATTATTTAATTAGAATTCTCTTTCAAATGTTGTTGTGCTCTTAACATTAATAGCCACTTGTGGTTTCCATCAGGTATGGCGTTCAAAAACCCAACCACACCAATCTTAAAATCACAACCCTCAATGCTGTATGAATGAAACACTTTGCACAACTTTCAACCTCCCAAGAAGCCTCCGGCATATCAGGCTTGTTTCTCTCTCCTTCATGACGTACGGTGAACTTTACAGCCCTGAGCTCTCTCACTGATTATCTTCCTCGAATCAGAGGCAACTAAGAGTTCTTCCATGCAAAAGCCAGCTCGGCCACTGCCCAGCAGAACAACCAAGGGTCCATTTCCCCCCCCTCCCCTCATGTGTTTTGCTGTTGGTCTCGGCTCTTCACTAATTCTAGCTTGTTCCCGGGGATGATACCTCTTCCGGGAAGCTGCTGCTGTCTGTCTTATGCCGACTCTTGAGGGTGTGGCAGAACTATCTGTGAAGAATTGCAAAAGATTTTGCTGAATTCACAGTTGTTTATGCACAAACAGGAGACACTAGCACAATAAGGCGTCAACAGAATTCAGATCTCAGGATTGTTTAAGTTATGAATATAATATAGAGTAACAATTACAATACTTTAAAGGACTTGCATCCATATCATTGCAAATGCACATTATACAGCAGCTGAGATGCTGATTATTGAAACAAAATAGAACATAGCAATTATATGAAAGCTGAATCATAATACTCACCAGACCAAATTGTTAAGTCAGGATCCTGCAGTGAGAGGTAAGCGATTGTGAACATCTTCAGGTTTCAATTTAAGTTTCTTCCCCTTCAAAAAATTTGCTCTGTCTGATAGTTTAATGTTTGATCTGTGCTATATTATCTTTGTAACATGTTAAAAGATCAATTTTACACTTGCCATAGATTCGAGTGTATCAACAGACATTTTGTTAACTTTCTCCATCCTGATGTCCTATTCATGCAATAATGTCCTATTATTCCACTGCCCTATATTGTACTGTTTTTGTCCTCAGAAATGTAGCTATGAGTTATTTCACACATAGTATAATGCAGTCATGAACACATCGATACATCATATTTTGATATTTTTCCATTCTGTACAAAATCATGAAAAAGGCCACAAGGTGGCCATAAGATCACAAGAGAGGGTCCAATGAAAAAGGCCCTTTTGAGCTTATCCTTCCAGAATATCAACTATATTTCCTCTTATAGCAGCATTAAGCAATTTCCCAAGAGTGGAGTGTCCTGGCCTCAACCACCCCTGCTGATAGCCCAATATTTCTCTGAGTAACAATATACAGTGCTGCCCTCTTATCTGCCCTAAAACTCTTCTTCACATAATTGGATCTGTGCTTTCTCTACTGACTCAAGCTGTCTGAAAGTATTGTTCTATGTCTGTTTTCTCTTCCTATTAAGTATCTTGGATCCTTCCATGAAGGTTTCTGCAATCATCTTTCAAGCAGAAAATCACTTGCATTTGTACTTCAATGTTGCCCATACAGAGTGCGGACTTGGGGAGAAAAAGGA